GAGAATTCTCTCCGAAGACTTGACCCCTGAGAATATCTCATATTGGCTCACGTGCTTGCACATGATCCTTGATGCCAAGGACCCTAGGCGCTGCCATGAGATCACCTCTGCGTTGAGAGATTTCAAGCTTGATATGACGTCGAATGCGGCTTTCAAAGAGTCAGCCAAGGTTCAACTCCTCGAGTTTGTCATCTCCGACGCCTCTTGGCACTTCCGTGATGTGCAGCCTGTTCTCGATGACTTCCTCGGCCACCTAGATCACCCTTATAAAGCCGTCCGCGAAGCCATGGGCAGAGTGCTCTCGGTGATCTACAAGACTCGGTACCACGAGTCGTTTGAGAATGTGACCAAGCTATTGGAGGCAAACAAGGCTGCTTCGTCCATTGGTCTGAGACCATACCGCCCAACAGAGGAATTCACAACGACTATCAAAACTATCTTCGATCAGCTAGAGAAGTGGCGTCAAGAGCGCGAGCCGGGCCAGCAAACACCCTCGTCCTATACCTCCGCCTCCAAGACTGTCCTCATGTGGCTGGACTGCACGTTATCATCACACGAATGTATTCAATTGGTCCCCTTCTTCTCCGATCCATTCATGGGACAACTGTTACACATGATGGATGTGAAGGAAGACCCCGAGCTTATGAGGCTGGCCTACCATGTCTACAGACACTTCCCCAATATTCCATTCCGTGATGGAGAGGATGCTGAGTTCATCGATGGCTTGATCCGCATTGGCAAGACAGCTACCAGCTGGCACCAGCGTCTACGTGCATTGGTCAACATGCAAGTTGTGTACTTCCGCAGAATTTTCCTCACGAAGAAGAAGCAGCGTGATCAGCTATTTGACGCTGTCTCAGAGATGCTGAGCGACCCACAGATTGAGGTTAGAACCTCTGCCTCAACGACTCTCGCCGGTATGATCCGTTGTTCACCTCGCCCTATCCGTGATCCTATGATTGGGGTCTTGAAGAAGAGGTTCGAGGATCAACTGCGAAAGAACCCGATGCCCAAGCGTAAACTTCCAGGCGCAGAGACTCCTGTGAACACGCATCAGCAGATTGCTAGGCGTCATGCGGCTGTTCTCGGATTAGGGGCATTGATTGAGGCGTTCCCTTATGCAACCCCGCCCCCTGAATGGATGCCAGAAGTCCTGGCAACCCTTGCCAGACGGGCTGCTGGTGATCCTGGTACTGTAGGCAAAGCCACCAAGATGATCTTGAGCGAGTTCAAGAAGACAAGGCAGGATAGTTGGAGTGTTGATCAAAAAGTAAGCCACCCTGTCACCAACCCCCTTTTCCTTCCACGCTGTGGAATAATACGCGAGTCAATTTGTGCTAACCTATGCGTAGTACTTCACGCAAGAACAACTTGAAGATCTTGAAGGAGTCCTCTGGAAGAGTTATTTCGCTTAAGGATAAACGATGGGTTGTTTTGTTTAGTTAGGAAGCGAAGACTGAACCCTCTCTTCTTGGCTTGTAGGCGAGGCATGGCACTTGATTGAATACCTGCCTGCAAGGACATTTGTCATGAATCCCCAGGATCGGGTTTATTTGAACCCTGAATATTTACCTCAACCACCGCGAGCTTGCCTCAAATTAGCAGATGGGCGAGCTAGTGGTGAGTGTTGGGTATGCAAGGGAGAGATGGGAACAAAATTCCACTCACGGTGATGACGCTCAGTACTCGATAGACTTTTATGTTGATGAACTGGAACGAAATGACGAGCACTCGCCCTAATGGACACGAGGCTTAATAGTAAATAGGTAGCTTAAGTAATAGAGCTTGCCGTTTCTCATCCTTGCAAGGATGAGAGTCAATTCAACCAAGGAATCATTGCACGTGTTCCGACGACCGAGGTAGCCATAAATATACCTTGGTAGATTAGCATCATCAAACTTCACTCTTAACTCACTGATAAAGAACACGAGGTAAAACGGACTTTCGAAGATAAGAGCGGTCATCGATGATGGAAAATGGAAAAACTAGGCTAATTTGCCTATTAGGCAGCTCGTCTCTACCAACGCAGCCTGCTCTGTAGAGGAACATGACCTCGTATCGACTAAATGACCACTTGTTATCCAGGTGATGGCATTGGAATGAATTATTGAGGCTGAGCAACCAAAGATGGCTTGTCACGATGTTGCCATGTACATGAAAGGAAGCGTACTACGGCGTGAGTGTGGAAAAGGGGCTGGACGAAGGGGCCGAAGGCCATTTGTTTAGCTTTCTTTAATTTCAAGCAATATTAGTGGAAATTCTTCCTGCAAGGCGTCTAGCATAAAAAAAAATCTATGCTGGGCTGTGCTCCTTCTTCTCTTTTGTTTTGAGTCTTACGGTTTGCGAGCAAGTATTGATGACAGTCGTGGGCTCGCAAACGAGCTTACCTTGGCAGGGCAGTCCACGAGGACCAAGGAGTTCAAAATTTGCATCATCTTCAGGAAGTCCTTTGAAGAGTTCATGTCTTGTTGGTTGTTCATGATGTTGGTTTCATTTAGGGTACAATTTTCGTTGCCATTTAGCGGGAATACGAGTGGAGGAGGCTAGTGATGGGCAGACTTGTAGGCATCTATGATGTTCTGCACGGACAGATGGGGAACATACAGAGTGGTTGGTTTGCTGTTTACAATGCCAAATCGGGAATGTCGAGTTTGAAATGGGCCCATGGGGCATTGAAACGGGACTGTGCACGTTGGTAGCAGAGTTTGAGGCTGCGCAGGCGGGATGCTACATGACCAAACGCCAAACTGTTACATCGCACCCCGGTCGCAAGGCGGCGTATCGCACAATTTCACGATTCGATCTCATTGTCAGGGTGGGTTTTCGGGGTTCTTTGATGTCATTCAAAGGTAATTTGAGGGAAACAGCCCTGTAATCTAGAATCCAGCTGCAAGGGACCTCTCTGCCTCCGTGGCCTCACCAACGGGACTTTGGACAGAGGAGGGTCAGTGCCTTACACGCTTGGCAGACTTGCAGGCTGCACTCGTCACCTGATCTAAGAATCGATTGGCTATGTCGAGAATGAATCTGGTGATCGGGATACAAAGAGCTACGCCGTGGCTTGTGCAACGGGAGGGAGTCACAGTGGGACAATCAAGAGGCCATCACGCAACTCCCCTGGCAACAGATAGACGCTTGCCCCGGACAAGCAATTTTCTACTTCTAGCGCCGAATGGACCGGTGCATGGGCGCTTGACTACCAGCAAGCGGGATGCCTCGAGTGCGGCGATGCGGGTCTAAATGCCATGATGAACGGACCGATGTTGCTAATCCTGTCCAGTCAAAGGGCTAGGCTGAGCCTCCGAGGCAGTTAAGGCTGATGTGGGGTTTAGATGTAGGTTGCAGAGTTGAAAAAGGGGAAATATTACTCTGTCGCACCTCCATGCGTAGACGGTGCTGGGCGGGTGAGGAGTTGAGCCTCGTCGTTCTATTTTCATTCTGCCTCGGCCCCGAATGATGTTCCTCCATGGGGGGAGAGTGGGGGTTTGCCTGGCGCCAGGAATCTGGTGCCGCCGTGGCTGAGCGTCAGATCTGTCTGTGCCTTGAAGGCCCCAACTCTAAGCGCCTATGGCATGCATAGAAGGCAGTTGGTTGCCAGCAGTGGGGAAGGCAGCACATATGTGAAGGCAGTTGCGATGTCTGGCAGACGGTTTTTTTTTTTTTTTTTGGCTGCAAGGGCGAGGCAGCAGAGTAAGGCTGGTGCCGGCAATCCGGTCGCGTGGAGGTCGGGCTGTCAGACGGGCCTGGCTATGCCCTCCAACTGGAGTTGCGATGTGGATGACTTTGGTCTGTAAGAGGTAGAATGCGATCCTGGTCACCGGCGATGATGCCTGGAGGTATGGAGATTGCGGGAGAAGGTGACCGAAAAGAGTCACCTCGTCAACAACACCAAGACGAGCATCGCCTTGTGAGCGAGGGCTGTGTTGGCTCGTTGGTTGTTCAGATGAGATTGATGCGATGCCTGTCCGTCAGCTTATCACCAGATCCAGTGGAAAGAATCGAAGGCGCAGATGGCCTTATGGCAAAGACCCGTCTCTGTCTGACCTAATTCATCGTGATGATATCTTTCAGACGACAGGCTAATCAAGCACGCCTGGCATGCCATTGACACCCGATGCGTTGTGTGGTGAGGTGTCTGTCGAGATGGAAGCCTCGGTGAACAATGCAATGGCCGGATGAGTCTGTGACGTAGAAAGCCTGACTGCCCAGTGCGCCGCAGTAACGGCAAATAGCACACTGCCAGGTATGAGTCCCACCCCGCTATTCACCTACCTACCTGAAAGATAGCGCACGGTTTGGCTCAAATAGCCCAGGGTCCAGGGTATGCAGGGCTGGGGCTGGGGGCACCCACTGAAGACAGGGGCCATCAGTGGGCGCATGTTGGCGTCAAATCTGGCTAGGCGGCGTTGTTCCATCTCCACCCGCATGTGCTGTCCCTCATCAGTCGCCTGCAACACGATCACCGCGCCTAGCTCAGGTACCTGTTTCCTCCGGTTTTAGCTGGGGTTTGAGCTTCGACATGGAGTGAGGATCAATCTTGGCTCCAGTCCACTCAATGTCATGCACTCGCACCTCGGAACACACCCACCTCGTGCGCATATTACGTAGGTGCCTTGCCTTGGAACGTGCAAGATATATAGTATCACCATTATCCTCCCTTCCACAATCCCCCTCATACCCACAACAACAAACACCAGAACATCCGCCAAGACTTTGATCACCGACTTTCCATCACGCACGCCAAAAACTACCCCCATCCGTTTCACACGCCTTTGATCAAACGAGGGGGAGCAAACACGCTGCCAAAGCTTGGCTGGAACACCTGATCTAAAGTTCGCACCCCTTCCAACCATATAATGGGCGTCTTCTGCTCAGCCAAGAGACTTTCGGAAGGTCGTCAAGGCCGGGATATTAATTTGGACCCTTCAACAACCACAAGAATAGCTATCCATCGGTTTCATCCCTTTAGAAAACCCGCCCAAAACACACCCAACAGCACCATGTCAATACGACGGGATGCTGAAGACGACAAGACAGTCGCACGTCATCACATTGATTCTCACCATACAGCTTTACATCCAGAATTGCGTCCAGAAGCCGCTGAGGCAGCTCGGAGAATTGGAAACACCATTGACTCGGGCTTTCGAAGCAAGGATGAGTACTACAAAGCTCGCAGGCAAATGCTGGACATGGACAGGGCTGTCGGCTTTGACCACAAGTGCCGGAGTAGAGCCTCAAGGCTTGAGGAGGAAGTGGACAAGATCATCCAATCTTTGAAGAACCAAGACTGCACAGAGGTTTATGGCAAGGCTCCCGCGCGTACAGGATTCGGCGGCCAGCTTCACAAGCGCATCCCCGGAGACCACTTTCTCTCCAACGTGGATCTGATCGGACAAACGGAGATCTTCAACATTGCCCGGAGGATGCCCAAGGGAAGCCACTTGCATATCCACTTCAATGCCTGCTTGCAACCCCAAGTGCTGCTTAACATTGCCAAGGATATGGAGCGCATGTGCATCAGCAGCGATCTCCCACTTGTCTCCAACAATCATTATGAGAACTTTGACCGATGTGAGATCCAGTTCTCGATTAAGGCCGTCGGTTGCGCCACCCAAGGCAATCTCTTCTCTTCAAACTACGAAGCCCGCCAGTGGATGAAGTTTTCAGAGTTTCTGAGACTTTTCCCAAGAAAATACCGCAAGACAACAAATGCCAACGCGATGAAGTGGCTCTCTTCAAAGCTGGTATTTCAGGACGAAGAGGCACACAATTGCCTTCAGACAGCAGAGGGGTAAGTTAGTCTCATCAGTCATCCCGTTGTAACACTGACTAATATTTTTGTATGTAGTGCTTGGGAGAAATTCAACGGACGAACAAGGATGATGAAGGGTCTCTTCAACTATGAGACAGCCTACAGAAGGTACACACGGTTGTTCCTCGAGGATCTGATGCACGACAACATCCAATACGCAGAGATCCGACCAAACTTTATGAGCACCAACCAACTGTGCCGTGACGATGGGACTGGTTCCATCGACAACCGCGGCATCATGAACATCATTATCAGCGAAGTCGAGAAGTTCAAGGCAGAGATGGCCAGAGGAAACAGGCTCTTCCAGGGTCTCAAAGTCATCTACTGCACCCCCCGATCCTTCTCACCCGAAAAGGTGAAGGAGGCACTGGATGAATGCATCCAGTTCAAGCAGGAATGGCCTCAGTGGATTGCCGGTTTTGATCTCATTGGAGAGGAGTGCAAGGGGAGACCTCTCAAGGACTTCATTCCTGAACTGCTCGAGTTCCAGGACAACTGCAGGAATCTGAACCTAGATATTCCTTTCCTTTTCCACTGTGGCGAGACGCTCGAGATTGGCACCGACACCGATGCCAACCTGGTCGACGCTCTTCTCCTCAACTCAAAGCGAATCGGTCACGGCTATGCCTTGGCCAAACACCCATACATCATGCAGCAGATGAAGGCACGCGGTGTCTGTCTTGAGCTCTGCCCCATCTCAAACGAGATCCTGGGCCTGACTCCACGAGCAAGTGGACATTCCATGTATGACCTGCTCGCAAACAACGTCCACTGCACTGTTAGCTCGGACAACGGAACGATCTTCAGATCTACTCTATCACACGATTTCTACCAGGTCATGATTGGAAAGAACGACATGGGACTCGCAGGATGGAAGCAGCTCATCCTGTGGAGCATCGAACACTCCTGCATGAATGATGCAGAGCGAGAAACAGCACTTGAGCAATGGAACCAGGAGTGGGAGGAGTTCCTCAAGTGGGTTGTGCTCACCTACCGCTCATACAGAGACGAGCGCCTGTAAATGAAGCCCGAGGAGAATAACTCGAGAACATAAACGCATCTTTTATGAGGGATGATACGACTTATGATGGGAACCATACGGATGCATTCATACTAGCCATTTGTTTTTTTTTAGCGAGCATATTTGTTTTTTTTTTTGTCTCTTCTTTGCTTATTTCCTTTTCTCTCTAGATACCAGCATGCTGCCATCATTGGCAAACAATCGAGCTTCTGTCAACATGATTCCACTGTCTGTCTTCCGTGAAACAATGTCGCTGGTGCCTAGAACTCACCATTCATCCCACACATGTGATGCATGCCTTGAAGGGGCGGTGCTCGATGAGCCAATGCTAATAGATCTGGCAGGAGAACCGATAGAAGACTTGAAGAAGCCTCACCGAACGCCGCCCAGACCGCCAACCGGCCCCCCGGTGCCACAAGTGTGGCGGGGTTGACACCCTTGTTGAACAAAAGTGTGGCAAGGCAGGTGCAGTGGTCAGGTGACGTGTGGCTCACAACATCTAAGCAGCTTTGCGAAATCAATCAGGCGACAATTACCGTCGGTGGAGCGAGTGCCGGGCTTCGAGGCGGGCCCCTCCTGAGCGCTTACATCAGCTCCTGAGCGCTTACATTAGGGGTCGAAACTGCCGTCAGCGCCCAGCCACTTTTGACCTGGAGTTCACCAACCAGCGGGTCGCGCCGTTTCCCCCAGCCCAATGGAGGAACCAGCTGAAATGCGGCTCTTAGCGCCGTCCCGCTCTAAAATGAACGCGGGAGCGGCCTGGGCTGTCTGTCAGGTTTCATCTCCTCTTAGGGGTTCATCCTTCGAAAAATTGTTTCGCAGCCAGCCAGCCATGTGTGTTTGAGAGTCCTGTACTTCGTCTATTTCCGTGCTCAGCGTCCGGGGTATTTTTTTACATTGGCATCGCTTTTTCCCAACCCCTGTATTCGTGATTCTAACTTTATTTATTCCTTTCAACGTCGCTCCTATCCTCTCCACCCAAGCAATACTACCTATTCACCCCCCAAGAGCTTCTGTTGCCAAAGTGGTTGCCCGATCACAACCATCAAGATGGGGGGGAACGGCGCCAATCAGTTCACATGGTTCCCTGGCAACAAGCTGGACTGGGGCCTGGACATTGTCACCCTTCTGGCGGTTATCGGCGAGTCGTCCATCGGTGATCAGTCCCAGGCCATCACTGCCTCGCTGTTCTGCGTCCTCCCACGCCTAATACCCGCCCCCCAGGCTCTGCTAAAGGCCACCAGGCCAACCCGCATGCCCGAGACGCTGGCCAAGATGACGGGCGTGCTGAGCGGCACGACCCTAGAGTCGGTCGGCTACTTCGCCAACATCATCCAGCCGCTCAATGAGCTCCCCGCGTACAGCTTCAAGGTGCTGAAGATTGAGCACCGCGAGAACTTCCAGTTCGAGGACGTCCAGGTAGGCACCCTCGCGACCGAGTATGGCTGGATCAGGGCTGTTTACACCAAGCTGATCAAGCTCCTGCCGGGTAAAACCCCCGAGCGGCTGCGCGTGGCCATGCCAAGAGCGCCGCCAAGGGACGACGAGGAGATGGCACAGCTGCCCCATGAGAACGGGACCACCACCGCCAGGGACTTCGCCCAGCCTGGCGAACCACCAAGGCCCGTGCAGCGCCGTGCGACGCTGAGGGAGACAACACAGGACTTCTTCACCAACCCCACAATGGCCCTCAGCGGCGAGCGTCCCGCGGTGCCGCCGAAGCTCTGGTCCCCGATCCATATCCTGAGCGTCTTCTCCTGCTCCATCAGCGTGGCCATTGTAGCCTGCGGTATAGCTTGGAAGGATGGAAACGCAATCATATCTGTCACTCTGATCTCGCTCACCTCCACCATTGTTGGCATTGCGTCGTTCTGGCGCCCGCGGCTTATGAAGCGCAGGCATAACAACAATGTCCCCCCTGGCGATGTCATGATCCGTACTCGCGAGGGTGCCTTCCTCCTCATCAAGTGCACCGAGGACGTCGCCCGAGAACTCTACTCCGGGACTGAAGAATGCGACTACTATGTCGGGGAGCGCACGTACCGCCTCCTGATGGGCATCGCCACCACTCTGCTGATGGTCAGTGTTGTCCTGCTCGGTAATTGCACGTGGGACCTGCAGATGTTCATCGCGGGCACCTACATCCTCCTCAACGGCCTGTACTGGGCCCTGGGCATGCTCCCCCGCTCCTCCTTCTGGGACCTGTCGCGGTACAAGTGGGAGGACATCACCAAGGAGGACGCCCAGAACGCCGAGGGCGTCACGGACCCCAACGACCAGCGCGAGGGCCACCCGAGCTTCACGCGCACGCTGTGGTACGCCATCCGCGAGACCGAGAGCGTCGGCTGGGTGCAGACGAGCGGCGCCGCGCCCGTGAGTGAGCACTGGAAGGAGTGGCTGCGCGAGGCGCACATCAACGCCAGGGACGGCAACCGCGACTGGAACGCAGTCGAGAGGAAGAACCAGATCATGAACACGAGGAATGCGGAGACGGAGCTCGGCGACCTGGCGGGCGAGACCGCACCGGCCACGCAGGTTATGAGACCCGGTGCTGTCGAGGGAGGTTAAGAACTGCTTCTTCAGGCGGTAGACTCCCACCCCCAACGCTTCGCTTCTATTCTTACGTTCCCTAATGTCTAATGAAGCGAATTGCATACATGTACACTTAAAAAAAAAATCATATAAGGACTGATATGGATACTGAGATTTAAGGGGGGGTAGGGGGTATCTATATGCTTGGTCCTTTTTCACGAGTGAATGAGCCAATTTGGGCATATACAAGCGGCAATGGTTACTGGTACAAAAGAATGAAAATATACGATTTCGATCTCGATCTAATTTTTATTTTCTATAAAAAAAAATGCATGTATTATATCGAAGGGAAAGAAAGAAGAGGTTCTCACTAACGGAACGCTCTTACACTCAGGACCTTTGATATGCCCCCAATCTTTATATATTTTGAAAAACGCCAACCTCCCAGTAACAACGCCCCGAAAGTAATTCGTATTCATAAAGGGGAAGGCGGTATCATGAGAGATTCCGGAATACCAGGGCGTATACCGACCCCAGGATAGCCGGTTTCTTCTCATGGATGCCCTTAGTTTTGTTTTTTGTTGCTCCCCGCTTTAGTCCTCGAAGTAGACGCTCTGGTTCTCGTGGATGTTGATGGGCCCCCCGCGGAAGCTGCCCTTCTTCTTCTTGTTCTTCTCCTTGGTGAAGCCCTTGCCCTTGGTGACGATGAGGTCCTCGTGCGCGCGCTGGGAGTAGGCGATGTTAATGTACTCGTTCGAGGCGAAGCGGGGGTCGACCTTGATGTCCCTGGCGATGCGGGAGAAGGGGACGTTTTGCTTCTTGCCGTTCCTCTTGAACTCGGTCGGGTCGGGGGGGAGAGGAGGGTCGGCCAGGGCGGAGGATGCTGGGGCGCCGGTGACGGTCACGGACGAGTCTGAGGAGTCGGACTTCTTGACCTTTGCTAGTTTCTTGGTTTTCTTGGTTTTGGCGTCAGAGTCGGACGACGAGTCGGAGTCAGAGTCAGAGGAAGACGAGGAAGAGGAAGAGGACGACGATGATGAAGAAGAGGATGAGTCGGAATCTGAGGAGCTGTCGGAGGAGTCAGGGAGGGCGACCTTGGAAGCCTTCTCGACCACAGCCGAAGCGTCGGACTCTGAATCGGAGTCAGATTCCGAGGAAGAGGAAGAGGATTCAGAAGATGAAGAAGATTCCGAGGAGGAGGAAGATTCTGAGGAGGAAGATTCAGAAGACTCTGAGGAAGACTCCTCACGCCTCTGCCTCTTTGCCCTAGGCTCCTCGTCCTCAGATTCTGAGCTAGATTCGGACTCGCTGGAGCTCGATCCAGAGGAGCTGGAATCACTCTCAGCAGCTTTCCTCTTCAGACTCTTTTTCTTCGTCTCAGGCTCGCTCTCATCATCGCCCTCGCTACCAGAGTCATCGGCGTCGTCGTCACTGCTGGCGTCCTTCATGTCAATATCGTCGTTGACGGCCTTCTTCTTGGGTGCTGCGACGGGCTGAGACGCCTCCCAGGTCTGAAAAATGGCTACAAGAGATGTGCTTCCAGCCTCAGGCAGATCCCATCCGTTCTTCTCGACCTGCTTCTTCAAGGCGCTGCGGACCGAGTCCAGGGAGTATTCGGAAAGGAACCCGTCAACCAGACCGAGGAGCTGGCTAGGGGGGGGACTAATCGCGGCGGTGGAGGAGGCCTTGGCCTTTGCGCCGGAACTCTTCTTTTCCTTCTTGGCCATTGTGGTGGAGGTGATCTGGGGGTTGGAAGAGTTGTTGGAGAAGAGCCACGAGGGTGGGCTGTTATTCGTGCCGGGCATGTGCTGGGAACAAGGTTCAAAAGCTAATTGACCGTGCCGTCGAATGTGTCACGACCCAAGCTGTTCAATTGGGTATCCCGGTGAGTTTTGCGGCAATGCAGGCCCAGCAAGTTAGGAAGGGTCGAACAGCGGTAACGAAGTGCTCGGCGCAAAAAAAAAAGGCAGAAAAAAAAAGGTGTTTTCCTTATCTTATCAGTGTGTCCCACCCCCACACTCGGAAGAGTGGCCTTGCCAGCTTGTGCACAGTGATACCACAGCACACATTGACCCACGACTGGCAAGCGACTGACATAATAAAACATGGCACATTTAGGCAGTTCAGCGTTGTATTTCAACACAATATCAAAGTAATTGACCTAGTGATAAACACCCCATATCAAGCTAAATACTGTGGAATAATTTATTATTCTTCTGTTATTGTGTCTAATTAAAAATGAGGTCTCTGCCGTACGCGAAAAGAGCTTTGGTGTGCCATGTTTTATTTCACCCGCTTGGCTGGTTGGTTGTTGATCGGGCTGTTCGTACCTGATCTCCATTTTCTTCCGTCCGCTAAGCTTAAAATTCAACCTAATTCTTGAGATAAAGGCTGAAAAAATATCTCTTGAGTAATACCCTTTTGGTGGTTTCAGTTGTATTGGTGGTATTCGAGACTGTATCAGCATGACACGTCAAGTGCCGTCTAGTAAGCAAAGTCGCTATGGACGCGTGCGTTTTGTGCTTGGTCTTGATTGGTTGTTAAGTGACAGTGAGGCTGTGAAGTAGAAGATATGTACCTATGCAAGGCGGGCAGCAAGGCATCTTAGCCACCTCTGCATTTAGGATATGCCTTTCTTTGCCACAGGTAGCATCTCTTCAAACGTTCCCCAAAGAAGAAACCAAAAGCCGTTCAATTCTCCTTACTATTCTGAACATATTGCAAATCAAAACTCGGCAGTCAAGGCGTCGCAGATGGAGGAGACAGAAAGTCCTACGGGACAAGCGCCGATCGCGTCCTTCGCTTTGAACGTGATTGTCAACCCAAAGGATCCTCGTCTAGAGTACTATCCCAGATATCTATTTCTAAATTCGGTGATAAACTAATGTTTTCTAGCATCGTCTTTGTACATGGCTTCAACGGCCACCCCGAACGAACCTGGACGGATAAGTCCGCCGAAGCTACATCCAGGACCGAGCCTCGAAGCGACGAGCATCAAGGTCGCCCATCAAAATTTCGAAAAGTAAAGCCAGGATCGAAACAAATAAGTGCCATATCTCAAGATGGTCCCATCTGCTGGCCCCGGGATTTGGTTCCCAAAGTTGTCCCCGACGCACGAGTCTTGACTTATGGTTACGATGCCAAAATCCAGCGACTGTTTGGGCCACCCGTCAGCACACACACTGTGTACGACATATCCAATGATTTCTCTATCGCACTCGAAGCTGAACGACAAGAAGAGCCAGAGAGGCCCATAATATTCATTGCTCATAGTCTTGGGGGGATAATTGTCAAGGACTTGCTTCGTAGGTGCGGCCAGTCGCCCAACCAGGGCCATCTACACATTCGTCCGATTTTCGAGTCTACTATCGGTATCATGTTTTTCGGCACCCCACACTCCGGTGCAGATCCGGGAGGCTCGCTTCTTCACTTTGGAGAAAGAGTTCTAAAAGCTCTAAGTCATTCTGTAAACGAAAATGTCAGGACTTCCCTTCTCCCAACTTCAGCTCACCTACGCGAGTTGCGGGACGTTTTCGGGCCAATGGCTCGTGAGCGCCGGTGGAAGATCCATTCCTTCCAAGAACAGTACGGCTTTAAGGCCCTTGGCGGTCAGAAGGTACGTTACGCTTACAAATTATGAGACACAGATTGATACCAGATGGTGCTAACCTATTGCCAAGGTCGTGGAGGATATTTCCTCATATGTGAATGTTCCCGATCTTGAGATAGTGGAACATATCAATCAAGATCACAGCAAAATGTGCCGCTTCTCTAGATTAGACGACCCCGAATTCAGGAAAGTTGAAGCAGCCTTGAGACGAATGCTTTTGCATATACCACAGAAAGAAATTGAGCCACAGGTGCCAGCCTTCGCGAGGTCATATCTCACCGAAGAGCAAAAAGCCGACGCCTTGGAATCGTTAAAGTTCGACCAAATCGATGCACGGGTACTTACAATCGAAAAAGCACACAGTAAGACATGCAAATGGATACTTCAGACTCAAGAGTATCGTGATTGGACCAACCCCGAGAAAGCCTCTGCTCATCAAGGGTTTCTGTGGATGAAAGGAAACCCGGGGACTGGAAAGTCCACTTTGATGAAATTTGCCTACATCGAGGCCAAGAGGAGAAGAAAGAAGAACAATTTCATTTTTAGCTTCTTCTTCAATGCACGTGGAGCACCGCTGGAGAGATCAACAACTGGTATGTACCGGTCATTGCTCGTGCAAATTCTCGAGCAATTCCCCAATCAAAAGTGCATCTTCCACTCGCCTGAATTAGGCACTAGGATTAAGCCTCGCCAGACATGGGCCATCGAACCTTTGAAAGAATTGCTTCTACAGGCCCTTCAAACATTAGGGGAAATGTCCATCGTATTTTTCATCGACGCTTTAGATGAGTGTGATGAGGATGAGATTCGTGACATGATCAAATTTTTTGAAAATATAGGACAGGAGCATCCGTCAATAAACCTGAGTATATTCTTCTCCAGCCGGCATTATCCACATATCACCATCAACTTTGGCCTCAGCTTATGTCTTGAGGAGCAAGATGGTCACAGTAATGATATAGAAAATTACATCCAGAGTGAACTCAGGATCGGCAAAAGCAACACGGCGAATGGAATACGTGAGGAAGTTCAAAACAAAGCCTGTGGTGTTTTCATGTGGGTTGTTCTTGTTGTTGCTATTTTGAACAAGGAATATGACAACGGCAATATCCATACACTTAGGCGGCGCCTGAAGGATCTTCCAAGTGATCTTTACAAACTATTTGAAGACATCATCCTGCGAGACGACCGGAACCGGGACAGCATGCTTTTGTGCGTTCAGTGGGTTCTCTTCGCCAAGACACCTTTGAGTCCAGAACAACTTTACTTTGCTATCCGACACGGCCTTGAGTCTAGTCCTCCAGAGCCTTGGGATCAAGACGAAATTACCCAAGGTACCATCAAAAGATTTCTACTTCATTCATCCAAGGGGCTCGCTGAAGTTACCAAGTCGAAACAGCCCACTGTTCAATTCATTCACGAGTCTGTCCGGGAGTTCTTCCTCAAGAACACTGGCTTGGCAAAGATCTGGCCTGAAATCGACCCAAGATTTGAGGCCAGTAGCCATGAAAAGCTGAAACAATTGTGCCTGAACTACAGTAATCCTGAGCTAGAATTCTTCTACTCCTTTGGCCCAAACCCTACAATGTCCATGGCAGAGCTAGATTTATTATTTCCTTTGCTAAAATACTGTGTTCAAAACATTATCCACCATGCCGACATGGCAGAGAATGGGGGTGCTGACCAGCTTACATTCATTTCTTGCTTTGACCGCTCTGGATGGATCAGGAAGAACAATATCTATGAGATTCACCAAGTACGGCAATATACACCGATGGCAAGCTTGCTATATATATTGGCTGAGGCAGATGCATCTCATCTAATCCAGCATTGTTCTTCGGATGAGACTTCAACAACGCCCTCCTGCCTCAAGTTAGAGGGCGAGCGATACGGTTGTCCATTTTTCGCTTCGATTGCTACGAAGAGCTTCGAGGCTTGTAACAAATTCTACGATTTAATGACTGCATCTCAGTTAGGGACGGCCTTGACTCTATCAGAAGAGGCTTCATCCCCCCATCAGAAGCGGCCAAACTTCGCGCTAAGCCGTACATTCAAATTCTCAAATAAGAAAACGCTTTTGGAACAAGCAGTTATATTTGGGAACGAAGATCTTGTTTCGTTTCTACTTCGGCACACATTGAAGGCTGTTGATTACGACACTACCCCTCTCTTGCATCTTTCTGCTCAAAAGGGCCGTGCGGAAACGTTAAAGGTCTTCTTAGAAAACTCCAATGGCAACCCAGAATCAAAGGGTGCGAATGGGATGACCCCGCTAATGTCTGCTGCTTCAGGAGGCCATGTCCATGCCGTCAAAGCCCTCCTTGACATAGCAAAGGTCGATCCAAATATCACAGACTCAATGGGACACACCGCAATCTCGCATGCTAGCCAGACAAATAAGAGTGAAGTCCTTGAGGTCCTACTTAGGGCAGACGAGGTCGATCCGAATATTGCAGGCACAGATGGAAGAACTCCTCTATCATGGGCTGCTCAACATTTTTCTGGAAATGTAGTCAAAGCTCTTCTTGCGGTAGATACAGTTGATCCGAATCTTGCAGATAAAACTGGAAAAACTCCTCTATCATGGGCCGCTCAAAGTTCTAAAGAAGAGGTAGTTGAAGCTTTTCTTGCGGTAGATAAGGTTGATCCGAATCTTGCAGATAAAACTGGAAGAACTTCTCTATCATGGGCTGCTCAAAATTATCATAGTGAGGTAGCCAAAGCTCTTCTTGCGGCAGAAAAGATTGATCCGAATCTTGCAGATATAAATGGGACAACTCCTCTATTATGGGCTATTCGAACTGGATATTCAGAGGTAATACAAGTTTTGCTTGCGGAAAACAAGCTTGATCCGAACCTTGCAGATAAAAATGGCGAGACTCCCCTATCATGGGCTGTAAAGAATGACCGCAAGACGATTGCTCGTATCCTACTAAAGTCGCCTAAAGTCAATCGGAATTTTACAGACCATGCCGCCTGAGCTTCTGCATTGGGTACCCGAGCTTATAAAGGGCAGTTCACTACCTATTAGAGCCAGGTGTGAAGTAGCCGAAGCTCGTCTGGATCCTGCGCCCTATAGCAACGGCACCCGTCCTTTGCGAGCTGCTAAACTTGTTACTGGAGACCGTTGGTGCTGAATGATTGAATGGTCGTAGTAGCTTAAATATATGCTTAGACAAACTAAAATAAAATGAATGTCTTATCATTCCTCATCTACGTCAATTTAATCATGAGCTGACTTTGAAATATTGGCAAAGAAGTGAGGCTGGATCCGACCTGCTGATCCTATCTGGAGAGTTCTCTCCTTGCTGTGCCTCACACAATGTCAAGATCGACCATCAAAGAACAAACGATCAGTTATTAACCTTGTATGATTCTCTTTTTAATCATCAGATTTACGATACTTGGCACTGCTCGAAATAGCCATGTTGCTTTCTTCGCCATGTGTAAGAAACTGTCCAGACAAGTAAGGTAGGCAGGCACTACATGGCAGAGACCTTCGTTCTATTCGACTGGACAATAAGGAGATTATCAGCTATTCGATAGTAACATGATTTGTGCGATGTTAAGTTTCCAATAATATATCTAATATTTGGTATTCTTGGTTGATTTCAAGAGTACTGGATTACGGTTACATGCGATGATTCGAGTCCTGTGCACATCGTTCTCTTCGGTCAATAGCTTATCAGCTTATCAACACCCTAAACACTGGTTGGCGAAACAACCAAGTTCGGCAAGCAACCTCACCAGAGCCACATACCCCGTCACCTCGTTCCAGCTCTACCTTGAGTGTTTATTGACCTCAAAAGCCAAGCCAGCCCTCTAAATCTACTCTAGCGATACAAGAACCTCTTCTACAGTTCATGAAGGGAGCCTTTGCAACGCCGACACAGAGTTCTGCATCTCCCATGTCGCCTACCAAAACAGCTTAAAATTGTCGAAAATATGAACTCGACGAAGAGGAAGTTCAATAACCTACTCCAGGGCCTCAGTCGCTCTTCGAGTGATCGCCAAAATGCCGACGCGACAACTTCACGGCCCCCGGGGACTCCACAGAAAACGAGTGACGTCGAGAGCTTTCTCGACAAACGGCGCAGGCTAGGTCTCCCTCTATCCAACTCTCCCGTTCAGAGCAATCCCCCGACGCCAGGCAAAGCAGGATCGCCTTCCTCGACCGTTGGAACGAGCCCGCGACGAACCGAATCGAAACGAGAGCCCGAAAAACCGCTGGCCAAGTACTGCCCGGGTGACCGCAGTGAACTCCTCCGACGGCTGGCTACTTTCCAAGAGCTCACAGATTGGACATTCAAACCCGATAGAGTGAGCGAAATCGAATGGGCAAAACGGGGTTGGTTTTGCAAGGGCAAGGAAACCGTGCGATGTGTGCTGTGTCACAAGGAGCTCGTCGTCAAACTCAACAGAAAAAACGTCGACGGAAAAGAAGTCCCCGTGCTCGTTTCCTCGGATATCGGTGCGCGCTTCTCCCTGTTGCCAATCCAGCATGAGTTCTTGCTAACAGGTCACAGAGGAAGGTCTTATTGAAAAGTACGAGGAGCTAATTGTCAGCGCGCATTTTGACGATTGTCTCTGGCGAAAACGGGGCTCGGAAAGTTAGTGATACCGGCTTTGTTTCTTGGCCCTTTTTTTTACTAATGACTCGATAGGTTCTCTCCTTCGTCTTCCACTATCTAGTACGGCCAGCGCCCTCGAGGAACTCCGAGTCCGATACGATGAATTATGTTCACGTGAATCCTTCCTACCGTACGAATTCAACATACGACTCCCGGAAGGCTTAGATCTGAGTGACGTACTGGCCAGTCTACCTCCAGACTTCTTCAAAAATGGCCAACAAGCCTCTATCAAAACACCGAATCGGCCAGCGTTAGCATTGGCCCTGTTAGGGTGGCAAGGGTTATCAAATTCACGCATTGGCCCAGTGCCAAACTCAGCCTCTTGTCAAACTTGCCTAAGGCGCCTAGGTCTGTGGATGTTCAAGAGTAAGGAAGTGAATGAGGACGGCGAAGTCTTGGTCCCCGCACCGATGGATCATCTCGACCCTGTTCGCGAACATCGTTTCTTCTGTCCATGGAAGAACCAGGACACCCAGAAACGATCCAACGCAAAGGCCTCGGAGGGTGAGGCTCTGCCCGGCTGGAAGACTCTGCTTCAGACTATCAAGAATGAGTCGAATCTACGAGATCTGTACGCAGGCCGGTCAAAGAGTCGGCCCAAGTCGATACAAGCTCCCAGCAACCCCTCCACGCCTGTACGACGGCCGCATGCTAACCCAGCCACACCGGTTGCTGGGGACGCTTCGGCAGTCAACGATTCACCTCGCTTCGCTTCCCAGCTAGACACTGAGGAATATGACGAAAAGGCGCAGGATGAGGAGGATAACGCTCGCTGGGCGAGACTCAAGAAAGTGAAGACTCTATTTGACATTAAAGGAGCAAGGAAGCGGATGTCGATCAGCCGTCCGGGCACAAGTCATTCAACCGCTACGACAGGCGATGGGAAATAAAGCGAAATAGGAATGGGATAATATGCACGCTGGTCGCTGATACAACGTGATGTACTATTTGCAGGTTATAGAGACTGCAAATTGGGGGGGTTGGAGCAGTCATGTGCTACTGCAAACTCTCCCAGCAGTCAATCGTGGTTTTGATTTTATGTAATTTGTACATCAGGTGTTAGCCATAAGCGGTCACGGGGGCTCAAAGCATGTTTCAATTTCGTCTATGAAGCAAATGGTATATTCGATAATACACAAGGTCTATTCGATAACGTACAAGGGTAGAAGCACCTAATGCATATCATGCTTCTGGAGTATTAAATGATACAACATGGTCGAGACTACCTCTGACCGAAACGTCCTTCTGGAAGGGCTTGGTCAGATCGAACCCAGCCAGCTCTAAGATTGCTTTTCGGGCGCCTCCCAGTCCGCCTCCGTTGCCAATACTGGGCTGGAACTCCATCCCTGGAGCCACGACATGTATGTCCGGCATCCATCCACTATTTCTAACCCATCCGTTGTCAAGCCTTACATCGAGGCGAATCATCTCCTGACGAACCCGCCGAGCACGCTCTGCGGCTACTTCCTCCCACCTTTTTGGAAAATACTGTGCCCCTGTGAGGATCACGCTCGTGTTGACCCTTTTGTGGGCGAGATGGCGTAGTACCCACCTGTCCATCTCACGAAAGGGCTTCGATAGTGAGAGGAGGAGGATGGCGCCCTTGAGGTTCTCCCGCTTTTCCAGATAATTCACAACCTCTTTGCCCCAGGAAGGACGCTTGATGAGGGCGTATTCGGGAGTGTCCGCGAGAATGAACCCGTTCGGCGGTCTTGACATGATGGGCAGACCTTTCCCATATTGGGATCCGACGGGAAAATTGACCCCGTACATAGTCATCTTGATGACCTCGTCATGTAAAGAGTCAACACCGTAGTTGTCGGGGAGCCCAAACAGACCGTTGATGAATGTGGCCTTTCGAGTTCCCATGGCACCAATAAGTGCGACCTCCGGGACAGCCGTGTTTATAGCATGCTCACTCAACCTAGATGCAGAGTAGAGCTCCTGGTAAGCCTCACCAAAATACTGCTGGGCTGTGGACAGCATTGATTCATCCTCGGGGGTAATGGGCGCGGGTTTGTCAGAGCCCTCCTTGAAGCAGATGAAATCTGATGACAATTTCTTGGCCACCATGATACCTTTCAGACCTTGGTGCCGCTGCCGCGACTTGGATAAAGTCTTGGGTTTCTCCGGAGGCTTTGATGTCTCATGGGCTCTCCCATGGACCTTGACATAACGGAGTTTCATGGGTCTTGGCGGGTGCCGTCGTACCACATGTTTTTGCTCCTCAGCGACTATTCTTTGCTCCTCAGACAATTGCCTTTGCTCTTCGACCACTGCTTTTTGCTCCTCAACCGATTGTCGTTCCTCTTCAGTCACTAGCTTTTGTTCCTCCCAGTCATAAGGCAGCCGTCTGGGTGCTGACACCTTCGGCTTGGGGTGATCCAAATCGTCTGCGGGACTGTGGTAGCGGCGTGCGAGTGCAGCAGCCTCATTTACCTGAACCAGGCGCGGTTGTCGGGCATTTTGAAGCAGTGGCCGGACGCCCCAGCCAAACGACCTTAACTCACGCCATCGACACGACCTTATCCTGTGCATGCCTCGTCTCCTCTGCGAAGCGGCCCAAATCTGGCGAGTTTGCTATCCCATCAGCTAACTACCCGGCGAAGAAAAGCGAGTCTTTCAGGATATCGGAGATCCATCTGTAAGGCTAAATGTGCTTATGTCAGCCGAAACGCCCCTACAACCACCCTAAACACCAAGTGAAAATCCCCGTTAGGTCTCAATGGGCCCGGAAGAGTACGATTGATAAAACCATCAACTACAAACAAAGAAGTGGTGAAAGAAAAACAAGAGAAAAGATATAAATTATCGACGGAGTGATACAAGGGATTTCGCGGCTCATTTCGCCTGACTTAGATCGAGGTTTCTATATTCCCCTCGTGAATCTCATACAGGTGGGGTTTGCTCTCGTATCACCCGATCACTGAACTAGATTAAAAAAAGCTTTAACACAATATGACAATTAACTTGGGGGACCTGGATGCCCACGAACAGCCCTCTGACGAGCTGAGGGCGGAGTGGAAGTCATTCTCGAAAAAAGAGCCTGCTGAGCTGCTCAACGAAACCAAGCTCGACGACCCCAGACTTCCTCTCTCACAGACTGGCTTCGTCTCGGCAGGATCGATAGCAAAGAACCAACTTACAGAGGCCTTTAAACAACTCGGCCTCTCTCAGGAGGTTCAAGAAGATGCCCAGATTATTCACCATCCCCTTCTTCCAGGTTTGAGCCCCTCCCCTCCTAACTCATTTTGTGTTCCCTCGATTCACTTAATTAACAAGCCGCATCTCAGGACTCCTAATTCTGCCCAATCTAATCCCTGAGACCGTCCAGCAGAAGCTGCTAGAACTCATGATCCACCGTGATCTCAGCAACCCCAACCACCAGACAAACATGCACCTCCACTTCAAGGTCCCCTACGAGTCCCTAGACCCAGGCGCCTCCTTCTTCTCTCACGGGCCCGACTCCCCTCCGGCCGCCTTCAACCCCAAGGACCCCTCCGTCCACCGGCCCCAGTCCCTCCGCCAGGTCCTGAACCGCAAGCTTCACTGGGTCACCCTGGGTGGGCAGTATGACTGGACCAACCGCGTCTACCCGGACGCCGAGCCACCCCGGTTCCCGGACGACATCGCGGGATTCCTCCAGGCCCTCTTCCCGGAGACCCAGGCCCAGGCCGCCATCGTCAACTTCTACACCCCCGGGGACACCATGATGATGCACCGGGACGTCAGCGAGGAGTCGGACAGGGGCCTCGTGAGCCTGAGCCTCGGGTGCGACGGCATATTCATGATCGCTCCTAGCAAGGGGCCGCAGGGCGAAGGGGACGCCTCTGCCACGGAGCTGGCCCCGGGGGCGTATGACACCGCCCAGGGCAAGGGGTATCTCACGATACCGCTCCGGTCCGGCGACGCCATCTACATGACGAACGAGTCGCGGTATGCATGGCACGGCGTGCCCAAGGTCATCAAGGGGACGTGCCCGGCACATCTCGAGAACTTCCCGGCAACCGAGGACGGGCAGTACGAAGAATGGCGGGGTTGGATGAAGAACAAGCGGGTAAATCTCAACGTGAGACAAATCAAGTAAATTGAAGACCCATACGATTATTATGAGCGATGAACAAGGAGAACGGGTAAAAGCACCTTTGAATGCTATCCATTAAGAATCACAAGCATTATGCAAATACCTTACTTAGTGTAACGATCAAAGCAAGGGTTAACGGCTATTCCCATGCGTAGAAGATGTATTGATAGTATTGGGAAAGCAATGTGCGCTATATGAAATCGATTCTTATTATCCCATGCAGTGCCTATCGCTAAGTATCCAATCGCTTAGTGCCCATCGCTTAGTACCAGAAAAGGGGGTAAAGATAGTAGAAAAAGTTATACACATGTTACGCCTGTTAATCCACCAGAACCCATCTATGCAAATCCAAACCCTTGAGAATTTTGTAGCGCCATTCCAAGGCGCTCCCGAAGCACCTCCTTGTCCCTGTATTCGGGCAACAAAAGTGTTCCATAGCATGTGTATGCCGTGGGCAAGTGACCGCCCTCGCCCTCTTCCTCACCATTTTTTTGTACCACAAATTGTAAATTACGCATGCCACCAACGGGAACTCTGTCAGATGCGGTAACAAATTCGAGTAATCGACGTTTCATGTTGTCATCATAGCGCTTGACAATCGACCAGAAATCCTTGATCGTGCGATGCGATGCGTTCCAGCCGACATATCGCGTGTACTCTCGCAACTCCGAAATATTGATTTCTTGAACGCCTTCAACGAGAGACTGCAGAATCGGGGGTGTCAAGAGGGTCAATGACTTCGCATCTAGGCACGAGCGAAAGCCTCTCTGGAATGCGCCAAACTGTGGCCCAACGGAGACGCTCGTCAGGTACCGAATGTAGTCATTCACGTACTCAAGACGGTTGCTTCCGGTGACAAGCGGCGCCTCTTCACCTGCCTCGGTAGGCGAGTCAGGTGAAGATTTTCCAGTTTGTGGCCATGGAGAGTCCCCTTTAGTCATATCCCGACTGAAATGGCTTCCGTATGTAGCAACGGAAAACTCGTATGTTCGAGCAAAGATATCTTCGACAGCTCCGTCTCTTTCATCCCAGTCCTGAAGAGTTGTTAATCCGCTGGTGAGATCTGGCCAGCCATCCTCAATGTGAGCAAGTTCCGTCACGGGCCAGCCCAGCAACTTCCGGTAAAGAGCCTTGGGGAAGGTTACTGGTAAAGTCAACCCGTTGAAGACGGCAAGCGAGACTAGCAGGCCGAAGAGCTCAAATTTCCAGGTCTCCACCACTGAGCCGGGGGCAAACCACGCCATCCTTGTCCGGTCGTCAGTAGTAAATGCGCCGTATACTGGTTCCAGGAATTCACCGATAGCCATGCGGAAAAATTCCTGTTGGACACCGCCCGAATCGAAGCCTTCTTCTCCTCCGTCTTCTCCAAGGCGCACCTTCAGAGGTCGAAGAAGTTCTCGAGGTTCCCTCCGCCATAATTGGTCGAACGCATCTCTTAGGACATGTTTTCGATCGACAGAGAGGACTAAGTATTTGGACGATGCAGTCTTGAGCATATCCTGAAGCACGGTCTTGTGGTGTGGGTTTGTGATGAGGCTTCCTGGGTCAACAATTACACTCATCCGAGTCTTGAGCGAGCTGGATTCCTCATACGCTCGGTTCATCCTGGAGAAGTTAATGGACCGGAAGAAAGAAACAAGGGTCTCTGGGGTGAACAAGAAAGGATAATCCAGTAAATGTCTGGTTTTCTGGTCGTACTCGGATTTCACCCATTTGATGGGGACGTCCATCGAGTCAAGTCTTTCTGAGAGATAGTCGAAGCGGTATCGCGATTCGCAAAGATGGAGAAGCTCTCGTCGTTTATCTACACACCTTCTGGGTCAGATAATTGTCCAGTAGTAAAGGCATCAAGTCACGGGAAACACTTACGCATCGAGCCAATGAAGGACAGCGCCCCAGAGCTGGGGCTATTGGCTGCAAAATTTGGGTTTCCATCCCAGTCATCGAGCAAAACTGTCTTCGCCCAATCCAAGGCAAGACTTTGCACGCGTTTTTTGTGTGTCAGACGCTCTGCGACTGGAAACTCCAGGACGGGTGCAGAATCGAGGCCGGATAAGCCAATCTGGTGTAGAAATGGCTTCATTATGTCCATTTTGCTCTTGGTTTTATTCGGCTCCCCCTTCATACTCCCCACTGCTGCAGCAAAGTGATGCCACACTTCGACAGCTCCACACAAACGCCGAGCTAGCCTGATAGCAAGATTGTTCGAGAAAGCATCATCGAAGTCCTCTCGAAACCAGTATGGTAGTTCTGAGGAATCATACAGTGCACTCGAGGCAAGCCCTCGTGAGCGAATTCGCCACATTTCGGCCAGTTGCCTTGTGTCTGAACAAAAAGGAACACTTGCAATTAAAGCATGAAAGCAGATTGACAAAATGCATCCAGCTTCTAGTTCTGAGAGAGTCCTCTGGCGGGTTCCTGTAACGTTGGCTTTCTGGAATCTAGCACTCCGTACGGACTTTGGTGGTAGAAAGAGGCTTCCAGCTGCGATCCAGAGACTGTGAAATACGAGGTTTGGCGCTGCTCGGGTCAAACGAAGCATACAATACCAAAGCGACTGCGAGTCCAGCAATGTGCCGTCGACCGTAAAAGACTGGATAAGAGACTCCGGATTGCTGAGAACATGGAAGAGGGTCTGCTCATTGAAGGCTTTCCATTGTCGCTTAGGAATAGGTTCGCGGGGCCAGTGCGTTCTCTCTAGGCGAATATATTTTCTCTCGGGTTGAGGAATAACCTCTGTCGACTCAAGCTCATAGGGAATAGCTCTCTCAGACGTGCTGTCTTCATCAAACACATCACAAATAAAGTCGATGACTCTAGCGGTCAGGTGCGTCAAAGATTGAGGTAAGGGGCAGTCAATCTCAGAGTCAGACATTTCAGAATCCGAAAGCTCGGGTTTCAGTTCCGTTACCTCCAGCCTTTGGCTCTGCGCATTGATTCCGGTTTTGATTTGACATTCAGACGTAGGTATTGGCTGGCCATCCGAAGAGTGACTTCGGGGACTCTCAGGTGGCTGAAGTCTGGGAGAGGTTGCAGGAGGCGCAATATTATCGAAAAACACAGGCTTGAGGGGAATATCAGGAATACTCCTGGTGACGCCCGCTGGAGAATTCGACTTTGGGGGCCAGCCGAGCTTATCTGGTTGGAATGCAGATACCCTTGGGGATTTCGTTGGTGATCTAGGCTCGTCCATTGTGGGAGTCGGTGTCGGTGGCTCTAGCGACTTTCTCCTCCGTGGCCTCGACGATGATTGAGGCGTTCGAAATGTAGCCTCAGAACTGTGTCGGGATTTTACAGGATCCTTTGGTGATGGAGACAGCGGCTCAACGGGTCCTAATCTCTCCGGTGGATCGCCACTCAGAAAGCTTGGGGTTCTTGAGGTTTCGGTTTTGGGTGACGCTGCGCTTGAGCCATCCCTGCTCGACTCTGTTCCCAGGGCAATGGGGTGATCCATCTCGGCAAAATCAAGCTTCTTCGCGATTGCGGCGTGGCCTTGCGGAGTCAACCATTCGAGCATCCGGAAAGCAACGGTTCCAAACACGTTAGCAGCAAAGGAACGGTGGTCTTTACTCGCCGGTCGCTCTCGAACCTTGCATTCAGTCCTTGGTGACGAAAAGTGTTCATCGGATAAGGGAGGTTTAGAGCGTCGGCCTTCATCTTCGCTGTCGGATCTGATCTGGTTTCCATTTCGCGGCGATTTCGTACTCGGCGGAGAGCGTGGAGGTTTTTGCCCGCCATTTCGGGTCGAAAGGCGCTGGCTTGCTTTCGAGGGAGTCGAGTGCGATTGGATCTCCGGGCGCCTGACCTCAAGAGCAAGTCTGCCAGATCGACTGGCGGATTGGAATATGAGACCTTTCAGCATCGTTTCTGACGTCTCTTTGTGCTGTTGAAAGTATGGGCACAGTCCATCTTCGGGGTTTTCTTGGCCGGCAAGATGAACCGCTAATATTCTCGCGCTCGAGGGGTTGTATCGTCGAATTGGAGCCTTCCCGGCCAATCGTTTGCGACATGTAAAGCAAGTCGAGGTCGAGCACTGCGGTGACCCGCAGCCATGGCGAAGCTGGAAGATGTACCTAGACGTCGTGGAAGAGTCAGATAGGGGAATTTCCTCGGCGATGGGCTTCGTTTGAGAGAGTAGCTTACCTGTTGACCAACGACTGGAAACCATGCCGACGGCTTGCGCGATGGATAGCATAAACACGCCGGGGATCATGGATGTCTGTGACGTAGTCGTGAAGCTCGGGCGGTGCGTCTGACGGCAACTTGACAAAGGGAGCCTCCAGCCAAAGCCCTGAGATCAGATCCAGGTCGAAATCCTCGACACCAGGGTCCGGGTGGCCGCGATGTGGCTGGGCGACGGGAGAGAAGGGCGAAGCCGCAGGCGCCATGGTAGACGATCGACGAGGGATGCGCCGCGAGGCGCTGTCCGGTTGTCTAGATCTCGCAGGCGAAATGGTCTCTAGTTATGCAAAGGGAGAGCGGGCATACTGACCAGAACGACACCCTCAATAAGCATGAAGGTGAAGACGGAGAGGGGATGCACCAGGATGAGGATGGAACGTGTGGCGATGCTGGCCCAGGCTTCGGAGGTTAATGGCTGGAGGAATGGGAGCAGCAGGTTGGAGCCCCCTGGTCGGTCTCTGGTAATCGAATACGGCTTAGACACGGGCAGCGAGCGCTGGGGTATCCAAAAGTTAGGTGTAGGACGCTGCCGCCGGGAGGGTCTTTGGGCCTTGCTAGCCACTGCCCCATGTCCATACATTCCATCAGCCGTAGATAATCCTTGTACACGATACCTCCGTGTCACGCAGGCGGCCCACCCTGCCAGCTATTGGATGGGCGAGCCGCTGCCTTTGCAGTCTCAAGCGCTGAGACTGTCTTGGGCCAGCGTGCCGTGTTCAACCTTCGCCTGGGAGATCTTGAATGAGTCTGCTCATCTCTATGCGATTTGTCCATAGTCGACACAGTGCGGGCATCTGCGGCTTTTCTGCGCCGTGTCACTGTGTGCTGCGTGGGTGGTGCCAACGCCCACCAGAGTGCTGCCATGGAGGAGGGAAGTTGCATGTGTGCTCAGATCCGGGAAGGATGAGCCCAGCGCCAGCTTGCATGGAAGCTTTCAGCCTCAAACCCTAAACTGGCTCGATAGTTGCAATGCACTTACCCATTGCTCTCAATATTGAAGGCTTAGAAAACATGTTTTTCTATCTGTTGACTTTGAGACGAATCGAAGTCAATTCACCTAGTACCTACCTTAGCTACTTTGCAGGTGAAGCTACAACCCACACTATCAGTGAGAGTCAATTCCGCGACCAGCTATATCGATAGCATCTTCTCAGAACAGATAGTCAAGGCGTACCTAGTTGTGGGACTATCTGATCCTTACCTTAGGATTCAGTCAGAAAGCGTAGTTGCAAGCAGATCTGTATCAAGCGCGTCTGTGGCATCGCAATTAACCTTGGCTTGCGTCAGCCACCTCACGAGCAGGTGCATAATTTTGTTGCTTCCATGCTTTCTCCTGCCATTGCTACCTTGCGGGCCCTTCCCTGTCCCCCAACACCGTCTTGGAGAGCTGGTACTAATTTATCAGAAGCCGGGATTGCCAGGACCCTCTCACAGCTCCAACTAGCCGCCCAAAACGACGGAAGGGCCCAGCACTTACCTAAGTATACAGTACATTTGTGTCGCGGCAGTTGTGGCGCTTTGATGGCACATACTCCGTGCAAGCTCGTTGGTGGCATAGGGATGGATAGTGGAGGCAACCTGTTCCCTGCTTTGGCGAGTGAGGACGACTCATTGAGTCATACGCTGAGTGACCCTCTTATTTGTCAGCACCCACAGAAGACGCCAGCTGAGACGAGAGAGGCGAGGAAATGATCATCATGCTGTTTGGTAAGATGTTGCAAGAATGTGTCATGGTGCTCGCCTGCCTGTACAATTTCAGATATTTCTCAGAAAGAACCAATAGAGCCCAGCCGACAGAACAAAAGCAAGGAGGAAATTGCTTTGGAACTTGCTCCTCGGCCTCTTCGCCAAGTCCGCCTTCGTCATATGATCAGGCTAGTCGGTCGCTATCGGCTTCTCAGTATCTTATTGATAAGATCAGCCCCGCCAATAACCCCGCCACCCACCGAACAGAAAAATGCAAAACCTCATTGTCACACCTGCACCTTTATTCCCCTCGAAGTGACATAATAACCCAGCTGCGTCGTCGGATCTGCCGATCTCTGATTTCGGCCAACTTCACCACCTCCCAGTCAACCAAGGGATCAAACCTGGTATCTACTACGAGAAAATTCCACCATCGCGGCACCACCCGACGAGCTTAGACACCATGGCGAGCACCGCTGCTCAGCCAGCCACATCGGCTTCCCACCCCTACACCTGCAATACGTGTCAAGTCGCCTACAGAAACATCGACTTGCAAAAGGGTCACATGAAAAGCGATTGGCAGTATGTGATATCAATCTTACCGTCACTTGAATGGAGCGGAGATGCTAACATCCCTCTTCTAGTCGATACAACTTGAAACGTCGAGTTGCTTCGCTCCCTCCCATCTCTGCAGACGTTTTCACGGAAAAGGTCCTACAGGCCCGAGCAGCTACCACGGCTGAAGCTGACAAGGTTCATTTCGAGAGAGCATGCGAGGCTTGCCAGAAGACCTATTACAGCGAAAACGCCTACCAAAATCACTTGTCCAGCCAAAAGCACAAGCTCAAGCTAGCCTCCTCCGGCAACCAACGCCCTGATGATGAGACAACATCAGTTGTTAGCTCGACTTTCACATTGGGCGAGCCTATAGCAGTGCGTCGTGATTCTGTCGACTCTGCTGCTGAGGCAGAGTTCAACCAAGTGGTGGAAGGTTTCCAACATGCCAAGATTTCACATGAAGAGCAGCGCCCTTCGCCCGTAAAGCGACCATCGAACCCCCATCCCGTCTCAGATAAGGCAACAGATGATGCTGCCGCCGATAGAGAATCAAACAACGCCACCCCTGTCCAGTCACAGTCAGAACCGACCTGGTCCTTGACATCCTGCATCTTCTGTAATTACAGCTCGACAACAGTAGATCAGAACGCTCAACACATGGAACGCTTCCACGGCATGTTTATACCTGAGAAGTCCTATTTGGTTAACTTGGACGGCCTTGTCGATCAATTACAGCAGAAAGTCCACCTCGGACATGAGTGCTTGTTCTGTGGCAAGATTAAGTCTACCGTATTCGGTATCCAGACACACATGAGAGACAAGGGTCACTGCAAGATTCCCTTTGGCACAGAAGAGGAGCAGCTGGAAATTGGAGATCACTATGACTTCCGTAGCACTTACTCTGAGGATGAGGAAGAGATTTCGGACAGCGCGGAAGAGGAGAACGACAAGGGTGGCGCCAAGCTTGGAGCACCCCGAGCCTCCAAGATCACCGATGCAGACGGCAATGAGGTGGATGGAGATGACGGTGAGGGTTGGGAAACTGACAGCTCTGCATCTGGCGACGAACAAGAAGGAGGACGCACAAAGCGCCGTGATCCAGACATTTACATTGATGACTACGAACTTCACTTGCCGTCAGGGAAATCAGTCGGCCACAGATCCCTGAACAAGTATTACCGCCAGAACCTGACCCATTACCCCACACCTGAGGAAAGAGCCGAACGCTTGGCGCTTGAAAATGGGGAACGTGGAAGCGATGATGAGGATGCCGGAGCAAATGATCAAGTCGCAACTCGCGGTGGCCGTAGCCGAGCTATTGTGCCTCGTGGAGCTATGGGCATGACCGGCGTGACCGATGAAAAGCGACAGCTGGCCAAGAAGTCGGAAGAGAGGGGTAGAACCCGGGAGGCGGACTTCGCCAAGAAGAAGGACTACGTTGTTGGGAAGAAACTCAACAACCAGAAGAACTACTACTACCGCTTCGCTGGTGGTGGTTAGTTGAATAGCTAGCTCACTGAGTAGAAAATACAAGCAATGATGATGAATTTTATCTCAAGCATTCTTTAAGATCTAAGCACTATGTGTATTGAGGTAGAAAGATCCAAGACTCTTATCTTCATTTCCAGGTTCAGGTTTACATGGCATACAGCACTGTGATGTTATGGACTCCTCAGTCTGATGCGTGATTGGCTGGCTGGGGATGCGATCAGGCGGAGGTTGCCGGTGAATGCAATTCCCCGCATTTTCAGCGGGTCTGCAGATTTCGGTGCGGGAGTGGACCGGAGTCTCAGGACTGGGCTGGGGAAAGGGAGGAGGCTGAGATTAGAATCTCCCTCCCGGCGAATTGCATCGTGTGGGGGGCGATCATTCGCAGTTTGATTATGCCAGGCCAGGCAGCGGTCGGAACACAGCTCAACCTGGAATCGCGTATCTATCACCCGCTACTGCTAGCCTCTGTGTGCATGAGCGGCAGGTAAGCCGGCCAGAGTGAGCCTTGCTTGGCCCGTCGCCACAATGATGCAAAGCGAGCTGGTCACGCGCAGGACCCAGTTCTCGAGCTGCGATGAGTGCCGCCGGTCCCGCGTCGCCTGCGATGCATCGTCTCGCGGCCAGGCTGAGGGCTCCGAGGAGCCCGTGTCGTGTACGCGGTGCCTGAAGCGGCAGAAGCCGTGTACGTTCAAGGTACGTTGCGTAGGGAGCGCGCCAAAGCGAACCGTGGAGGATCGGTCTACGGCGTGGTAGTGCATAAATCAGCTCGATGGAATTGATTGTTAACCTGGGCTGTGATAGTGGGTGAGCGAAAACAAGGCCTCTGCTTCGAGGAAGCTCTCAACCAAGCGGAAGCGGCGGCGGCGGCAGCCTTCAGTCTCGGCCAGCGAGACGGCCACCTCACAGCAGAATGCGCCGGGGGACGTATTAATCGCGGCAACTCGTGGTTTTGGCTCCTCGCCGGGATCAGAAGGACTGCCATCGTTCTCTTCGGAGTCTCACAGCACCAGGGCCACTGCGACGGCTCTACTCAAGCTTTCTTTTGGTGGACCGCCTGACCCGCTGAGCCAGAGCGATTCCGAATGGCTGTCTGTGATTTACCAGACGGGCTATGAAACTGTCTTTGGCTCGTGGATGGGGAGATACGGCAATCCTTTCGTGTAAGAAGTCTTCTTTTCTATCTCTATCTCAAAACCACCTTGGGAAGAGTGTGCGTGCTAATCAGACCAGAACGGACAATGCGTTCGCTGACAAGCATGTGAGCATATCATACCTCTGCAGGCAGCTTGATAAATGGATGGCAGATGACTCTGGAGCCGGTAACACGTCTGCGAGGGATGATGCTCAAGAGCGGTTGATCGACGAGTCTTTGCGTAGTACTACCGCAGCCTTTTCTTCTCGTTGGCTTCCTCTAGCAACAGGTGCTTCCTCAGATGATCCTGAAACTAGCGCTCTGATGCAGAACCTATGGCGATATGCTCGCCGGGATATGCTGAGGGTCATTAATCGTCCTTGCTACCGTTCCATGCTCAGCTTGTTCCTGTTTGCCCTGACGCCCATCCCAGTAGGCATCTCTGAAGAGGAAGAAGTCGATGGCATATCCGGCCAGGCCTGTGTCCACGCAGCGCTCCAGCATATACAAGTTCTGAGAGCGCGTCAGAGGAACCTCCATTTCAGCGGCTCCAAGGTCTCACCGTATCTCAAGAAACATATCATCCCGACAAGTCCGGGATCCATTGACACCTTCAACTTTATCCATGCGGAGAGCACCGCATACTGGGCTGCTCTTACCTTCGACACCTCGGCGTCGCTGACACTCAACTGCAGATCGCTGTTGTCATCCGGACTGTTTGGTTACGAAGAAGAACTCTGCTGGCGTCTGATCCGCAGCAAGGCGAAGATGTTTGATGACGTGGCACAAGGGTGGTCGACAAACAGCCTGGACATGACGGATGAGAGGGCCAACCAGATTGTGGCCGTGGGATCTGGCTGGAAGCTTCTGGCCTGGAAGCTCACCGCCGTGTTCAAGGAAGCTCTCCGGGATGGGCATGATGAGTCGAGGGTCCTTAAAGCGTATAATGCCGTCGTGGACGCGATCAAGCAATTTGACCTGATTTTCCGTCCTCACCTAGACGCTTGTCAAAGGCGAATGCAGTTTTTAGGGCAACAGGCCAAGCTGCGTTGGTGTAAGTTTTCTGAATAGAACTCAGGGATCTCAAGTCTTTGTTGGCTAACGAATTACCCAAGATTCACTCATGTTACATTATCACTTGAGCATATTGATGCTCGTGGACATCATCGAGGCGACGGAACGCTTCGATTTGCTGCGCGGCGTTCAGGACGCTGCAGCCGACGCAGAGAACACCGTCATGAACACACTCGTGTTCGGCCTGCACAATACGTGCACGGTGACTCTCGATCCCAGGGTGGTGTCACCAACAAGCGAGAGAGACGGGAGCCAGCGGAAGAAATCGTCCATCACCGTGCCGCTCACATCCATAGATCCATATCCACACCACATCGTTGCCGGCGTCCAGCTGGTCCGGAAGGCGGTCGAGCGAGATTACGGCGAGGGCAAGATCACGAACGAGTCTTACGAGAATCTGCAGTCCATGCTGGAGCAGACCCTCAGCCTCCTGCCGCAGAGCTCCAAATCAGTGCGGGCGGCGAGGACGAAGCTCGCGACGCCCTCGGAATCAGGCATCTCAGAGCCGCGGCAGGATCCATATGGCTCCATGCAAGGGCAGTACACGGAATAATTACTGGGTTGGGATGCGCTGTCTGTCCCACGATTCTGTGTGCAGGCATGTGCTCTGTGTAGGGCTAGGATCGGCCTCGTCTGATTCGACAATATTGTTCCTGCTATTCAAATGCCGGACGGACTTTGGATCGACAGCATAATTGCCATTTATCCTATCATTTAGTCTCGATCCCGAATCTACTAGTAGATCCTCCCCAGTCGGATCCGAGACCAACGATGATGCAACCAAAAATTACCCCATACTTAGGCTACCCCATATTATCTTCACATATCGGATCCGACAACTACCCCGATTTTGGCTAAAACCCCCTCGTGGCCGCCCTCATTCCCTCCGATGTCTGCCTACTATTGCTTCAATACTTTTCATCCATCATATAGAGACATCACGATGTTATCTACCACAGCCGTGCCGACTCAACGGAACGCCGTTGCCATCCTGGGCGCAGGGACGCAGGGCAGACGCTTGGCCTACATGGTGCGCATGGCCTCCCAACCAGTCCCGTGTTGACCTCACTAATCCTTTTGGCAGTGGTCAAGTCTGGGGAACGAAGTTCACTTAATTGATGGGCAAGAAAGACAGTTGGAAGATGCCGTGCAGGCCGTGGATGATTTCCGAGCCGAGCGCGACTCGCCCGACTCGAAGAAGGGCCAGATCATCACCCACTCACCAAGCCAACTGAGCCAAGCCCTTGGCAACTCATGGCTTGTCGTCGAGGTACTTTCATTCAGCTCTCGCTTTAAATACTATTTCTAACACTTCGCGTCAGTGCGTGCCAGAGAAGCTGCCACTCAAGCAGGAGGTCATTTCACAGCTGGATGCCGTGGCACCAGAAGACATCATCATCGCGTCAAACTCGAGCAGCTACTCGAGTGCCGAGATCATCAAAGGTCTAGACTTGAGACACAGTGGCCGCGTCCTCAGTGCGCATACTTGTACGTAACCAACATTACATGCATCTTGCTGTCGTGGTGACAACCTAACAGCAAAATTTGTAGATTGGCCCCCTGAGACTCCAGCCATCGAGATCATGGGCCACGAGGGAACACACGCGCCCTTCATTGATCTCATGATGAAGCGGTGCGCCGAGCACGGCTTCGACCCATTCCACGTCCGGAGCCAGTCAATGGGTTACTTGTACAACCGGTATGACAACTCTCGTCCTCACCACGCAAAGCACCCCCAATGCGAAAAAAAAAACTAATCATGATTTTCTTTCTGCAGGATATGGGCGGCAATCAAGAGAGAAGCTCTTCTAGCTGCCTCAGAGGGCGCCGGGACGCCTGAGGAGCTCGATGCAATTTTCAAGGGCGTGCTGAAGACTCCAAAGGGCCCCTTCGAGCAGATGGATATTGTTGGGCTGGATGTTGTCCTGGATATCGAGGAGCACTACGCGGAGGCGAGGAGCGACATCCCCGAGGGGCCTAGGGCCTTTTTGAAACAGTATTTGGACAAGGGGCACCTGGGAGTGAAGAGTGGCAAGGGATTTTATGATTATGGAAATCAACACAGGCTGTGATTTGTCTTGATGAGTCATCGAAGAGAGCGTATTGGAGCGTTATTTTCAGCCTTAATACCACAGAATGATAGACACGTGTTGCACACAGCATGGAGGATCGTTGCGCCCAGACGATAGTAAAGCGATATTACATCCATCTTGTTATCAGAATGACAATAACCAGTGAAGGTTATAGGACAATAGTCATAAAGGTCATGGGACAATAATCAATAAAGGTTACGGGTCCCAACCAAAATCTCGAAATTCAATGTTTTATTGATTGGCTATTATACGCTTTCCAGGCCATGATATCTAACAATATGACGATCACAACCAAACCAAACGCTCGCCTTGCAAAGAAGGGAAACAGCTCATTCGCACTTTCATCGGCACGCGATCCAATTTCCTCACAAAGCCATCGACGGCTCGATAGGGATCAAGCATAAGGTTTATCATGGCGACTCTTTCCGTCACAATCACAAGAATGAACTCGAAGCGACTCAGATCCGTCCACCCATTTGCAAGCCACCGCATCGACCGCAGCGCAGGCATGATGTCCTCCTCCTGGACGATATCGTTGATCGGTTTGGAGAACCGGTATTTATCGGGGTCCTCGTCTATGGCCTTTTCGAGCTCTTTGCGAGTCTCCATACACGATTTGTGCAGGTATATTGAAGTGTACCTGATATGCGGCGCTGGAAACTTCGCACCGGGGCTTTGGTGTTCCTCATCTGGGAACCGGGACGTCCACCAGTCTCCCCAGTCATCGTCGTTTGGAGGCAAATCGCGGAGGCCAGCGGGGGGGTTGCTGCCGAACTTCTCAATGAAGACGTCGATGGTCTTGAGGCTCACGAGCAGAGCCAGCATTTCGAGGGTCTCTTGCGAGAAGGGCGTGATCAGGCGCTTCCGAAGGGATAGTACTTTCTCCTCGTGCGTCATTTGGCCCCATGGTTTGTCCCAGTATTGGTTACTGGAGCATGGGAGCGGTAAACCCATTTGGTAGTCTTGGGAACCCTGGTAATAACCACGGAAGGGGGCCGCAACAACCACGGAAGGAGGATGAGAATTAAGATAACTGCGACCTGTTGAGTTCGCATCTCTTTAAGGAATGAACTTTTGAGATAATGATGCCGCTCCAAGATCTGATTAGATGGAAGAATAATTGGCGCTGTGCGGTTGAAAGATGTGGATTGTATTTCAGCGACATACCATCACATCGATTTGAATTTAAGCTACCTTGTCTATGCGAGGCGAAGGAAAGTGCATAGATGGTTCAAGACGTAAGAGCGGAGAGTTAGGGAAGGTCGACCTTACCCCTATTAGGCTTCTTGCTTCCCTCGTAGAAACCAGTAAAGCCGGGATGGTAAGGGAGGCTTAGGTCGGTTCGCATGTGATGCTTCACATAAGGTTCATAACAGAGTGTCATAGCAAGCTCGATGTATGGATTGTTTCCATGGCGGAAATGGCGACCCGTGTAGGAAGCCCAAGTTTTGTGCTGCATCACAGGTTCCTCTCTTCGCCGCTTCCCCGTAGCATAGACCTTGGACCTAATGCCCAACCACCACGCTCGCATACATCTGATTGTTGCCATGCTTAGGCAGCATCAATTTGATAAATGGCCTCTTAATAAGTTTAGCTTCAGCTTATCATGATCTGCCCAACTTCATAGGTGCTCGTGGCGGAAAACATCCTTTGATTAGAAGCCTCGCTTTTGGTATATTTTGGATGAGGGACCGTATGTTCCCCAAAGCCAAGGTATTAATTGGCCCTTGCAGGGCATTATCGATACCCTAAGGATGTTGTGTTTATATTTTATACAGGTTACCTTCGTGGATAACAGTACAGTCAATGATATGTTGCGTTATATCTCAACCAATCCGATTCGGGGTCTGGAACACCTCCGCTGTTGTTGACGTTTGATGTGCCTTGAGGCAACAGCAGATTTGTCTGGTTATCAGTCGATCCGATAGTTGAGCCTGAAACTCTGGGTAAGTTGAAGAAGTCGAAAACGTCTATATTATCCAGCTCGCTCAAGGATGTGTTTTGGGTTGACGTGCTTTCCAGTCCCGATCGTCTCGTCTGCGTCGTCAACTGGACCAAGTCATAGGCGCTTCTACAAAGGGAAAACTGTTAGAACGTATACAAGAGAATGAAAACCTTGAAGGTTAGCACCTACTTTCTCATAGCGGCAAAACTCATGTTATTCTGGCGAGCTCGCTGGATCACTCTGCTCAACACCTTGGCATAATTATGTGCCACCTCCCAGTACTGGCCAACGTGTTTGAGCGTCTCAACAAGGAATTCGATCTTGGGATCGACAGGGCCACCAACTGTTGCTGCGTGTACAATCAGCAATCTGGCGGCAACCCAGAGAGAGAAGGCAAAGGGCGGTCCCAGCAAGTCCAACCCATCTGCCTCATAGACATCCCTGGCAATATCGCCAAGGCTTTGCACCGCCGATAGACATCTTTGCATTGCATAGTGTGATGGAACGAATATGTGTGATCGGACCGTGGGATATGCTGCTGCTGAATGAAGTCGTACAACCGCAACCACATACGCGCTATGGAGCATAAACCAGTTGGCAACGCGACTAGCTGGGTCCGAATGGCACAAAGCCGATATCTTGCTGTATTCGCTTGGCAAGCTCTGCAACCAAGAATCCAGCGAGGAGTCCAGTGTATGGTATGTGTTGCGCCAGTTGGCCATGTCCGTGGAAGATGTCACATCAACCGGCGTTCGTAAGAAGTTGTGGATTTTGCTGATGATACGGAGGATCTCGCAGTGGTAGGCAAAACTGCCCAAATTCTCGGGTTTCTTCACCATAAAGGATGTTTCCTGGCTAGGTTGCTGGTCATTCGATGCCATTACCGTCTGCGTCTCGACAGGGACGTTCCTAGAAAACAAGTCGTACGAGCATGGAAGGACTCGCTTCATTAAGTCGTCGCTCAAGGAGAAGTCGAAGGTGGTAGTAGCAATAGTAGCGTATCTGTCCAGGAGATAAACCATCCAACATAGGCGTCTTCTTCCTTCATCTTCTATCCACGACTCGGGTCTGGTTGTAGCTATCCGCCGGATCGATCCAGTGGTCGGCATCTCGTCAGGCTCGGTCGCTAGAAATACGCTCGTCTCTTCACAAAGGCCTAACTGCCTGGCGTTCTGGGCCAGCATGGCCAGCAGATTCCATCCTCTTGGCCCATTCAAAGTACCGAGTTCGTCTAAAGAAAGAATAACAGATACCTTCAATGCCTCGATACTAACATTCTCCATTGCATAGAGCTGAACAGTCCTCCTCGAAACACCATGGTAATGCAACTTCGCCTCGTACGATAACCTAGGGTCTTTCAAGAATCTCAGCGTAGTTGCCACTATGGCGTGAAGGAGGACGCGGTCCGCTTCGTTCATCGACGTCGAACCGAAAAATATTCCGAATGTTGTTTTTCGCTCGAGGATAGGACACCATGTGTTGCAATGTTTGAAGTACAGGTCGACAAGAGTATATATCACATCCTGAGGCGGCAGATCGGCGAGAACAGGCGTAGCAAGAGGAGGCTGGCGAAGTGAAACTGAAGGGTTCAGCGACAAAGACGGCGCGCTGGTGTTATGGACGGCGCCAGACGGGTTCTGCTGGCCACCATACTGGGCAACGTCAGGGGCGTCGCTGCCAGGCCAGAAACCACCTGGGAAGAGGCTCACCGTTCCTTGGGAATTCGGAGTGCCGCCCGCAGGAGTGTTGGGGGCGGGCACACCACTGGAAAAACCACCTCGAGGGCCAGCATCGGCAGCCTGTGATCCCGTCGCCTGTGTACTGATGGCTGGTGATGGAGCATCATGGGAGTCTATGTGCTCCTCCAACCTCCGTCCAAGAGACTGCAAGAGGGCGTCGATCTTGTTGACCTTGGCCTCGAGCTCCAGCCCGAAGCCGATGCGGCTTCCAGGCTTCTGTCTCTCCAGATAGACACATGTCCTGTTGTGACGGGCACACCACGAGCATGCGGGCTCAGCACGGTCACACTTGACCTTGCGAGCTTTGCACAACTCACATCTATATTAAAGTAGTCAGCATCAGCAAGAATAGGAGGATAACGAGCATCCTGTGGATTCAGGGGGAGGGTCCAAGAGTGGGATCCTACGAGGTCTTCTGGTGCTTCTCTCTCTTTCGCTTCCTCGGTGTCGTGGCCGAAGGGACATTGTGGGCCGTATCATCACCACTTGATCCCTCCTCGTAGCTGATGCCCGAGTTCGCGTCCTCCTCGGCCGCAGGTGCATTGGATCTGGTCATTGTGCTACTGCAATCGGGATCCGTCACATATGGGCCATGCCACTATCAACATGCGAAAGTCGAGTGACCCGTAATTCCGGGTTTCTGGTTTTCTTTGTCCAGCTGATAAGAGGAGGGAGGGAGCCTGTCTGCACTCCCGAATATGGGGAGTCCCGGCAGGATTGGTTATACCAGCTGAGGGCGGGATGTGTGATCAACACTGGGACATGTCTGCCTCGCTTCCCGTCGGTTGGCCTTCTCCGGGCTCTTGCTCGAATCGTATGCAGGTGCTTTTCGACTGACCTGGAAATGGACGCAGCGAAATGTCATCAACCGCCCCACAGGCGTTTCCGCACCACGAGGTGGTCTGGTTGGAGGCTGGGCGCCTTGTAAGCTCAGCGCCTGGACCCTGGGAGTTGTTCCCTAACGGGCGATGCTAAACCGTTGGTTGGCTATTCCAGTGAGCAGCTAGTGCGCTTCTCGTCAGTCGCAGCGGGCTTTTCTCGGTGCTTCCTCCCGAGGAGCAGGAGCAAGGGACAGCACAGTACCGAGAAGGTACCTGCCTTGCCTGCGCTGTGGCTGTGGGTTGGGGGAACTTGCCCGGCATAGGTCTGTTTGAGCTTAATCAGCCCCCTCCACAGGCAATGTACGTACTGCCTGCACACAGTTCGTCGCAGCGCATTTGGTGGTGGCAAGAGCCTCTCTTGTGACGGCATAAATTTTTTTCTACGGATACACACGGCGATCGCCGTGGACAGCAGAAAGAATGCATCAAGCTTACAAAAGAGACTTTCGGCAATGTATCTGCATCAAGGCAAGGGCTACTTACTCCTCACATGTAGGGTAGGGGTCATAATACATGATACAAAGGGCAAAGGTCAAAGCTCTTACCGCGGCAAGCCGTGATCTAAGGTTCTAACTTCTACACCGTCAGCTGTGTCGGGCAATCCCACGAGTCGTGTATAACTCCCAGGGGCGAAAATTGTTCGCAACGTCACCTCCCCCTGCACATTGTATCCGGAACCGCACAGCACATGACAACCCACTCAGAGGGATCCCTGCTCCTATCTTACACGCCGGTGTGCTCGTGAACGGCGACGCGAGAGACTCCATGTACGAAACCATCTACGTCTATGCATTGGACATGTACCTGCAGGGGATGGATGCAACGGAGTGTGCTTCGCCATCACCACCATGATCACGCCCAGCTCCTCACATCTCGGACTTTGACCACCGAAACCTGTCGAGCTCATCCCCACAAATGATAACAGGGCAGAGGCAGGCATGGCCAGAGGCACCATTCATTGCTGGCGAACTTATCAAGGAGATATCCAGAAACAAAAACGTGTAATCCAATTCGCTCCGACGCCCTTAAAAGTAGTATCATACATATCTGGGAGGCCCTCTCCGACCCGTGGCACCCAAAAACATCAATCATTCCTATTTCCCTGTAACCCCTCTAGTTGGCCCAGCCCTTGCTCATCTGGACTGCCTTCTCCCATCGCTCGAATTGCTTGTCGGCGGACGCAGCGTCGATCTGGGGCTTGAACAGCGTTCGGCCATCGATGTTGACGTCGTCCAGCTCCTTGAAGTCGCTCCAGACTCCGACGGCCAGGCCGGCTGCGATGGCAGCACCCAGAGCGGTGGTCTCGCGCATTGCCGGCCGGTTGACAGGAATGCCAATAAGGTCAGATTGGGTCTGTGTACCAAAACGTCATTAGTAACCGCACGCCAAGAATTTCAATAGCCCGAGGCTTCAGGTAGGGGGCATCCCAAACCACGCTAGTTACTTACCTGCATAATGAGATCAGAGTTGCACATGCCACCATCGACAGCAAGCTCAGCGAGAGACTTGCCGCTGTCCTTGGCCATGGAGTCCAGGATGGCCTTGGTCTGGAAGCAGGTGGCCTCGAGGGTGGCACGGGCGATGTGGCCGCGCTGGGTGTAGGCAGTAATACCGAAGAGAGTACCACGAGCATCATCGATCCAGTACGGGGCGAACAGACCGCTGAACGCAGTGACGAAAGTAACACCGCCGTTGTCCTCGACAGTCTCGGCAAGGGCGCTAAGCTTGGAGGAGGACTCGATGAAGCCCAGGTTGTCGACCAGGAACTTGACACTGGAGCCGGCGACGGCGATGCTGCCCTCGAGGGCGTACATCCTCTTGCCGGGGCCAAAATCGAAAGCGACAGTGGACAGGAGGCCGTGGGTGGAGATGACGGGCTTGTCACCAACATTGTAAAGCAAGAAGCATCCGGTGCCGTATGTGTTCTTGGCCTGGCCGGGGGTGAAGCCCTTCTGGCCGACCAGAGCAGCGGACTGGTCACCCAGACAGCCGGTGATCTTGATACCCTTCAGAGAGGTGCTGGCGAGGGATCCGTAGGCCTCGGGGTCCGAGGATCTGACAATCTTGGGAAGCTTGATCTTCTCCCTGTCAAGGCGGAACCAGTCAACAAGCTCGTCATCGTAGTCGAGGGTCTCGAGGTTCATGAACATCGTACGAGAGGCATTGGATGGATCGGAGACGTAGATCTCGCGAGCGGTTCCACCGTTCAGCTTGTAGGCCAGCCAGGTGTCGACCGTGCCAAAGGCAAGGACACCATTATCGTAGGCAGCCTTGACCTCGGGGACGTTCTCAAGCAGCCAGAGCAGCTTGCTGGCAGAAGGGTACGTAGATAGAGGGAGACCGCAGCGCTCAGTCAGTTCCTTGGAACCGAGGCGGTGCTTGAGCTTGCGGACGAGGTCCTGGCTTCGGGTGTCGGTCCAGACAATGGCATTGTGCAGGGCCTTGCCGGTGGTCTTGTCCCAGACGACGGTGGTCTCTCGCTGGTTGGTGATGCCAACGGCCTTGATCTGGTCGCGCGAGTGGCCCTGCTTCTCGAAAGCCTCGACGGCGCCGTCAATGCACTGCTCTACGGAGGAAACAAGCTCCTCGGGGTTGTGCTCGTGCCATCTAATTGAGATTGATTAGCTATAATGCTTTTTTCTGGCCTTGTCGCGTGGAAGATAAGATTGCGCATTTGCGCAAAATGGAGGGGCACTCACCCGGGGTTGGGGTAGATCTGCTCGAACTCAATCTGATGCACCGCAACAACCTCACCACGGTTGTTGAAGATGATGAAGCGGGTGCTGGTGGTGCCCTGGTCAATGGCGCCAACAAAGGTTGGGTTCACAGGCTGAGCGACTGGGGACATGGTGGTGGTGTTTGTGGGGGAGTGGGAGGAGGTCTGTCGCGTCTTGGATCTACTTGGGAGCAAGGACCGGAACATGCAGATGCAATTGCCAATTGGGGGTATCAATTCACGCGCAAGAGGTCAAGCAAGAAGCAAGATGAGAAGGAAGAGAGAGAAGAAAAAAAGTGCAGCGAGGGCCGTTGAAATGATTGTCCGGACAAGCACGAGCGCAGAGTCGAGATCAGAAGGATGGAGGGGGAGGGACACAGAGGTTGCATCACATGTCGGGGAACGGCAAAATTATTTGTATTCTGGCGCTGCTGGTCCATCCTCCTGCTGCTGGGCCTCCATGGGGTAGCTCCTAGGCGAGCAAGACACAAGACACACGCGCATCAATTGGTAGGGACTTACTGCTTCCGGAGCCGGTCGAGCTCAACCCCTCATCTACTCCATCCAAGCCCAGGCACCGCCGTTCGGAGAACGTGAGCTTCCCCGTCGTGGGACCCCCGCGGCGAACAAAAGAGTGTGGAGAACAGCACGAGGCAATAATTCCAACCCAGGTCCCCATTCTCGGTTTTTTTCTCATTTTCTCAGGTCATGGGATGCAGGGGTCGACCCCAGAGTGACTGGTAGGCTCTCCACAGCATGTCTGGGCTGGGCAGGGGGAACCGCTTATTTGGGACCTGGAGGAGATTCAGCTGGCCTCGAGATGAGGCCATGGGAGCTCAGATCTTGGTACGAGATCAAGAGCTGTATGAGTTCTGGAGATCACGGTGGGGGGCCATTCGGTCCAGTCGGGTTTTAGAGCCCGAGTTACTCGGGAGCGCGCCGATGTGCATGTGCCCACACGGCCGAGAGACCCGTTTAGGAGGCTGAACCCGCACAGCTCGGTGAGGGTCGGCAGTCTCTTTCTACGTTCATCCTTCTAGAGGCTTTATCCACAGTCAGAAACAAACCAGGGCATCAGGGACGGCCGGCCCCGGTGCAGTGGCTCGGCCCCAGTGGTCACTTGACACTGGTTCCGCCTCTGCCTAGGCCGTTACGAGCTGAGCACCAAAGATCAATACCAAGCAGAGCATATCCTCCGAGACTTCCGTCGGTTCTATCTTAGAGCCGCCCTGTCTGCCTGTTAGAGGGCATGACTTGAATCAATCCTTGGCCACAGCCAAGGCAGTGTCGTCATGACCAGCCCTCTACAAGCCAACGCCACCCTCAGCGCACGTACCTACGTAATGTGCCGTCCTGACACAGTAGCTCTCCTCCTCTTTCGGACGATCCAATCAGAGGCCCTGTCTTTCCCCTCATTCTCGCACATAGCCGCTGCCCTGCAACCCTTCGCTACGACGTGATGAAGGATGCATCCAACCATTGAACCGCAAACGCGAACGGTCTGGTCGTCTAAGACAGACTAGATTATGGCTCAAGGTTCAGGGTTCTCGCGCCGCCCACAGACGCACGACGCTAGTGGTCGAGAGGAATAGCCGCGGCCGGATCCGTTGAACGCGCGACAGCGGCATGCAGTAGGATCACGGTCGGCGCATCAGCCCTTGTCCCATAGTCGAGGAACTATGAGGCGATGGCTCGGTTCCACGATGTCGACAAAAAAAGCCTCCCCCTGTCGAGATGCAAGTAAACTTGGTCAGATGATGGCGGGAGATTAGGTGAGAAGATGCGAAAGGCCCTGACTCGGTGAGGGTAACACGGGGCCACAACCTGCTGTCAAGCCTGTGGATGCCCCCGCGAATACATGTTGGAATGGCCCGACTCGTGTTGGACTAGGCCATATCTAGATGTGTTACACATTAAAGCCTGTCTGTAGCGCGTAAGATGACAGAGAATCCGGCTAGAAAGGCTAGAAAGAGGGAGCAGCGGAGACTTTTCAGCCTCTCAATTCGACTTGCTCCGGTCGGGCCCCACAAACTTCCATCGTTCCAGAAAAGATTTAGTAATTCTGGAGAACGCGAGGGCACCCACTCACTCACGTCAGAGATTTTCTCTCCTGTCAATCCGAGGCCTGAGCCGGCCAATTGCATCCAGAGGCGCCGGTACTGTCAAAAAGTAAAAAAGCTTCAGCCTACTTTAGTGCCCATTCTTGATGGCAAAGTTTTCGGGTGCAGATGTGACATTTCTTATTTGACGTTACATGCAGCTGACGGGGGCGGGGGGAGGGGGTTGGCTTCTGTCATTGACTGCCAGGAGGAGAAGGCAACGGACTTGGCTGGCTGGCTGGAGCAAAGATCATCACATCCATCCATCCATTGTCAACCCCTCTCCTTCCTTAGTGAGTTTTCTGACCCCCCTCCCCCCTGTGTAATTGGCAGACCCTGTTGCCTCCGTCCTTGCACTTGCGCTTGTGATTGTGGGTTTGGAGTCTTGGACGGAACGGCGAGGGAATTCAGGTCTGGCACAACAAACAAAAAATAGGTAAAACGAGCCTCGGACGTCGCCAGCGGGTCTAGAAGTAAGATGAGCCCACTCGAAGGAATCCGTACTCCGTAAACTCAGGTAGAGAGGCTGCATTATTGTCGACGCTAGCAGGCAGGCTCCGCCGGTTCTGAAGGTCCCGAGAGGATCCTTTGCCATTTCCGGTCCCACCCTAGGCTTCAGTTCAACCCGTTGTTGCGCAGTGTTTGTAGCAGGTTTCGGGTCGCCGCCACCGAGCCTGCATCGAAGCTTTCGCTAGAGCCCTTGATGGGAAGGGGACAGTGCTCGATCGTACCCGTACTACCCCCTCGTGACACCAGGACACGGGCTTCTCTCGGTGCTCGCGACATGGATTCCTCGGTACTCTGCAACGAACCTGCTTCCCATCTAGACCAGAAGTGGTAAACTGCCCACCCGTCCTCATCAATGAACCATTGATGAGTATCCGGCATCCTGCTCGAACTGATTAGGGGATCCACACATGGTACATGCCCGGGCACTACCAACCCCATCCTGGCTGAGCCACTGTCCACTTCCCACACGGAAGAGGAGAGACAGAGGCGAGGAAGGCACTCTGGCAAGATTATCGTCTCCATTGCCTGCAGCCTCTGCATCGTCACGCACCCCTTCACCCGCCTCCGGTCCCCAAGTCAGCCAGCCGGCCAGGGACGTCAAACCCCTCATCCAACAAGGCCCCCCCCAGACACCAAGAATCTAGACTCATCATCTTCTCCAAGTCTAACGTTCCCATCCTAACGGTTCCGTAAGAAAGACTCCAATCCCCGTGGGGACTCAAAGTTCATAAGGACCGTGTCGCCCCTCCCTTTCCCTTGTAGTCGAGAGTCTGCATCCCGACCGATTCTCTGTCCTGGATCGTCTTCGGTGTTCGCTGTCGCCTCAATTATTCCATCATACCTATTCCCTCTAGCACCAGATGTCCATCACTCACTCTCAGGACTCGGTTGGTCCTTCCTTCATCGATAAGACCATCATTCCCGTGGACAAGATTGAACACGCCGGCTCCATGTCGCAAGAGGAGGTTTCTCACTCTGAGCTCTCCCACCCGGCTGAGGATGAGCCGGCCTGGATTGGCATCCGGGAGTACTGCCAGGACTTCTTCTCTGAGTTCTTCGGCACCTGTGTTATGATCCTCTTTGGTGATGGTGTTGTTGCCCAAGTGTCTCTGAGTGAGATGAAGAAGGGTGACTATCAGAGTATCTCTTGGGGCTGGGGGTAAGTCCAACTTTTCTTCGTTCCCGATCGTTCGCTTCATACCGAAACAGCATAAACAGACAATGTAAAAGGAGGAGGGCTATGATGAGAAGAGATTGTGTTGATGGTGTTGACTGTTGTGTGGCGAACGTGATTTGGCGTTTCGAGATGATCTTTGATGACTGACTGAAAATTCCTCCTCATGCAGATTGGCTGTCATGTTGGGCGTCTACTGTAGCTCCAAGTCTGGTGGCCATCTCAACCCGGCCGTCACTTTCTGCAACTGCCTCTTCCGCGGACACCCTTGGCGAAAACTCCCCGTCTATGCTCTCGGACAGCTCCTCGGCGCCATGGCCGGAGCCTTCATCGTATACGGAACATACTACCAGGCCATTGATAACATGGAGGGACCGGGCGTGCGCACTGTAGGCGGCACGACCAGCACCGCTGGCATCTTCTGCACTTACCCTGCCGCATTCCTGACCCGCACCCAGATGTGGTGGTCCGAGGTTGTCTCCAGCACCATTCTGATGTTTGTGATCTTTGCCATGGCCGACCCTAAGAATGGAAATGCCCGGAAACTCATGCCCCTTGGACTCTTCTTCCTGATCTTTGGAATTGGCGCCTGCTTCGGATGGCAGACCGGTTATGCAATCAACCTGGCTCGTGACTTTGGCCCTCGCCTGGTTTCATACATTGTCGGCTATGGCCATGATGTCTGGTCTGCTGGTGGATATTACTTCTGGGTAAGTCTGCCTCTTCCATCCATAGCGCTCTTGTTTATCTCTCTTTGTGCATGGCGAGAGAGAGAGACCTCAAGGCTATTGTGACAGTTGAAAGAGCCAATGGCTAATGATGATGATGTTTCAGATTCCCATGGTTGCTCCCTTCTTCGGCACTGCGTTCGGTGCCTTCCTGTACGACATCTTCATGTACACCGGCAAGGACAGCCCCGTCAACACCCCTTGGTGGGGATTCAAGAGACTGCTGCAGCCCAGACGAAATATCTGGTCCAACACATACAAGGCCAAGCAGATCTCGTCAGTATAGATAATGACGCCGTGACAAACGACCCATTCCCTCGAAAGGAGATTGTCGAGATTCGAGGACAGAGAAACACCCAGGGCTCTCTTTCAGTGGTATGGGATCAAGTGAGGACAGCGGGGATAGCGTTTTGAGGATGTGAAGAGAAAGAAGATGAGGACCATCTCCCATACATGATGGGCAGCGGCCAAACGCAGGTGCCAGCCCCGCGTTGCGACAACCAAGTACAGAGAAACCGCCGACTCACTGGATGGTTGAAGATGTTTTGTTAATGCTTTTTAATCGTTATGGATTCACGACGCTTGACGATGGTGGTGATGGCTGCTGAGTTGTGGGCCTTGTACTCTACAAGTTATTGCTATTGTTGTTTCTGCTGCGCTGTGTATTCTGTATTTCAATTGTTCATGGTTTGGTGTTGATTGTAGGCAATGTTCGTCCACTGTTCGGATGGCGTATTGGAGGAGCGAGGGCCGAGTTGAATTATCACTGACTGTTTTTCTGCAATTCAATTCGATGGGCGTGGGGTCAATGATTTATGGTATAGCGGGAAAAAGCGTTGAGGGTTGAATGGGAAGAGCAGAAAGATAGGAAGAGAACATCAATGCCATGATTTTTGAAAAAAGAAAGAGACAAGCTCCCCAAGTCCAGGAGAAAAAATCCAGCAGAAGGTGGCAGACTTTCCTTTTTCTCGCCTCGTCTAGGTCGCCTCACTTTTTGAGTAGCTTCAGCGCCGGAAAGAGGCCAATGATGCCCGATGCCCCAGACCGTTTTCTCCGCTGGAGGCCCAATGGATTGGACCGACCCTCCCCCACGCACGAGATAAAATGGGGTCTGGACAATGATTGACCTTGTTTTGCTCAGGGTCTGCCTTACAATATTGCTATCGGAGCAGGTTCTAGGCACTGCGCTAGCTGGAAAGAGCAGTCTACAGCTGCGATTTCCTAGGCGGAAAAAGATTCTCCGTGAAAGCAGGTGCCACTACCTTGGACCTGCATGGATATAAGGCTCAGCTCAGGCAGGAGGCGTGGTCGCGTAAGCGACACATCTTGCCCTTGGATTCCAGCTCGCTAAATCAGATACCCTCGTCCCGAGATGAGACGAAGCACGTTGATGAATGCTACCACACTACAGTCAGTGGTGGTGTTGCGTGGGATGCGTCCCTTGGGCCCCCTTCGGCTGAAATTGGTCTTTTCCGTTCAACAAATGAGGCAGGCTTGTGAAGCCGATTCCCCACCAATCACATCGCAGGGCTAACGTTGATGGGTATCCCAACACACTCTATACGCTCAGCACAAACGGTAGTCTCTCAAAGGGAGAGCTAAGATGCTTATTGATGGCATGTCACAGCTGCTGCAATTTGCAAGGGTGGGATTCGGGTTGGAACGTGAAGGGTTGAGCTGGTTTCGCCCTAAAACCCACCATTGAGATCCCCCGTTACACCATCTCTCTCATCTGGCAAAGGGAACACAGATACCCGGGACTTGGGGAAATCAATCTCGTGGTAGTGTCTGGAGTTTAAAAATAGGGTACCTTAAGAATGCACGCAATTATAGATCCAGCCCACGGGGAAGATATTTCTCACGTAGTATATGGGGTCAACGCTCTGGGGTTGCCAGCGCAGATGGCCGACGGTCCACCGGGATCCAGGCCGTTTATGAGAGCGCAGCCGAGTGTGCCAGGTATGTATATAGCTCATTACTCAATGAGACCTCATCTTCCCTCGCCGTGATGAGTGAGAGAAACTCCCGGTTGGCATCGATAATTCCAGCTCGGGGCGCGTCCCCCGAGACACCCGAGATTTAAAGTGGTCGGGTCGCGACCCCGAGCGCTTCCCGAGCTAAATCTCGGAACTGGCACACCGACATGCATAAATGGGCCCGTGCATGATGGCAGGGGCCGTCCGATGGCGCCTGCCATGACTTGCCATGACGCAGTGAGCCGCAAAATGCACGAAACGCCCAGCTCGTGTCGTCGAATTGAAACACCACATCCGTCCATTCCTGTGCCTGGCCGGCTGGCAGAGCACCTGCAAAACCTTGTCAGCTCAGCCGCGGTGCCCACTCTTGAGTCCACACGGCAGTCCTGGTCTCCGCACGTGCTCCACGGACACCCATCAAGATGCGAGCCTCGCCGACGTGGACCCGGCCGCTTGCTTAGGGGGTTGCCCCCCCACGGGAACAACGGAGAAGAGAAGTGAGAATGACAGATGACGATGGGAGTTTTTCTTCTTTCAGCGACTTCGGGCTTTTGTGCCGATCCCAGTGTTTGCGGATCATGTCTTTCCACGAATGAAAGTTGGATCAAACTCATAAGAAAACAGCTCATCTTGAAGTCTTGTCCTACCACAGCATACACCTGACTGGCATCTTCATTCTTTGTTCTCGTTTAGCCATTCTTTGTCCCTTAATACCTACCATACCCCAAGCTCTCACGGTCCATACCCGCAGAGCTCCCAGGACAAGAAGAAACCCCTTACAAGGAGCCCTTTGCCGAAAGGCTTCCCTCGTCGGCAATAACAGACTTCGCCATGGCCTCACGTTTACAGTCTCTAAGGCGCCCCCTCACTATCGCTGCTGCAACTGCAGCAGTGGGAGGAACTGGGCTTTACGCTTACTCCAACTCCCGCAAGCACACCATTTCCATGCCCATTGTTGAGGCCAAGCGCGACAGCCAAGGCCGAATCGTACCCCCCACCTTCCCAGCTCTCAAAAGCCGCAAGGAGCAGCTCGACGACCTTCGACGCCACGATGGCTCTTCCAGCGATGCCGAGTACGACCTTCTGATCATTGGCGGTGGTGCTACCGGTACTGGTATCGCCGTCGACGCCGCCACTCGTGGTTTGAAGGTTGCTCTTGTTGAGCGCGACGACTTTTCTTCGGGTACCAGCTCCAAGAGCACCAAGCTCGTCCATGGAGGCGTGCGCTACCTCGAGAAAGCCGTCATGAACCTCGATTACCCCCAGCTCGAGCTCGTTATTGAAGCCCTCCGCGAGCGCAGGACTTTCCTCAACATTGCCCCTCACTTGTCTAATTCGGTCCCTATTCTCCTCCCCCTTCAGCAGTGGTGGCAGGCACCTTACATGTGGTGCGGCACCAAGGCCTATGATCTCCTTGCCGGTTCCCAGGGCCTAGAGGGCTCCTACTTTATGACCAAGAGCAAGGCCTGGGCTGAATTCCCACTCCTCCGCAGAAACAACATGGTTGGCGCTCTGATTTACTACGACGGCCAGCACAACGACTCTCGAATGAACGTCTCCCTTGCTTTGACTGCTTCTCTTTACGGTGCTACTGTGCTCAACCATTTCGAGGTAACCAGCCTCGAGAAGGATGCCAACGGCAAGATCACAGGTGTCAAGGGTAGGGATGTTCTCTCTTCCCTGGACAAGGACGCAGACGGTGCTCAAGAATTCCAAATCCGTGCCAAGGGTGTTATCAACGCCACTGGACCCTTCGCAGACGCCATCGAGCATATGGATGACGCTAGCCGAAAGCCTCTAGTTTCCCCTGCCGCTGGTGCACATGTTATTCTCCCTGGTCGTATCTGCCCCAATGGAAAGGGTCTGCTTGAAGCTTCCACTTCTGACGGCCGTGTTGTCTTCGTCCTCCCTTGGCAGGGAAAGACCCTCGCTGGTACCACCGACAATGCCTGTGAAGTTGAGAGAGAGCCTGTTGCCCTTCAGAAGGACGTTGACTTCATTCTGACTGAGGTCAATAAATTGCTCCTCCCCGAAGCCGCTGTCACTCGCAATGATGTCCTCGCTAGCTGGTCCGGTATGTGTCTCTCCTCAGTGAAATCTACCAAGGGTATCAACTAACTTTAAAACCAGGTATCCGTCCCCTTGTCAGGGATCCCAAGGCCAAGAACACCGAGTCTCTCGTGCGCAGCCATCTCGTCACTGTCTCCCCCTCTGGTCTCCTCACATGCGCCGGTGGCAAGTGGACCACCTACCGTCAAATGGCCGAGGATGCTGTCGATGAAGCCGTCAAGACATTCAACCTCAAGCCCAGCTCTATTGCTCTCCCCGACATCAGCGGTACCGGTCTCCCAGGTTTCTCCACTACTGGCAAATGCTGTACTCTTACTACTCCCCTCATTGGTGCTCACGGATACTCACCTGAACTCGCCTCCCAGCTCATGTCAGTCCACTCTGTCGACGCTGATGTCGCTGAGCACCTTGCGATCAACTATGGCGACCGTGCTTGGGCTGTTCTCGCTACCAACGCCACCTCTCGACTTGTTCCCACCCTTCCCTTCATCGAGGCCGAATTCCGCCACGGTGTTCGCTCCGAGTCAGCCTGCACTGCTGCTGATTTGATCTCCCGCCGTACTCGTATGGCTTTCCTTGACGTCGGGGTTGCCCTCAAGGCTCTTCCCCGTGTCATTGATATCATGGCCGAGGAGCTCAACTGGACCGAGGCCCGCAAGCAGCTTGAGTGGACCCAAACTGTTCACTTCTTCAAGTCCATGGGTCTTCCTGAGGAGAAGCTCAATGTGACCAAGGAGGAGGTTCTCAGCAGCATTGTCCAGGATGTTCCCCCACACCACCAGCCCTCTCCTATCCGCTCCGAAGGCGGAGTCCAGGTTGGAGGGCTGGGAAGCTTCGACGGCACCATCGCTGCCCGTAACATCACCCCCAACTAAAAGTTGACCACCAAATTCACAATGGGGAAAAGTTGATAAACAACGAATTTGCATGTATAGGAGTGTATTGATTGATAGGGATATCCGGCGTTGGTGGAATCATGATAAGCATAATTAGATTTGAAGCATTGTCTTTCATACAACAGCACACTGTGTGCTTTCTAAGATTGTTGTTTTATATATACCACAATACAGTTCTTTTTTTTTCTCTCTGATCAATCAGTCACATGAACCAAATTTCCTAGAAATTGCTATGCTCGTGTCTCCATAAGCTCCTGCCACACATTACGCCAAAAACACCCGTAATGATCTGAGACCACGCACATCAAACGTCACCAGATACCGGTGCATTTCCTATCTAGCAACACTCATCGAGTAGCCTAGGCAAACACAAGAACATGGAAGAGGCAACAAAAAGAGGCAAAAATGAAAACCTACAACAGCCGGGATTCGCTGGTCGTCACCGACCCAGCTACTAATCGGCCCCTTGCGAGCTTAACGTACGGAGAGCAGACGGGATCCAGTGCTGCCTCGCAGGTATGGTCGTAGATATGAGCGACTGATGCTATTCGGGTTATATTGGTGGGCTCTGGCTGATGTGGTGACCGACGACCTCCTCTCAGCTCACTAGCCTTGCGTCCCAACCTTCCCCGCCTGTGTTTTCGATCATACAAAAGAATCGATGATATTAATTGACGGATACTTACGCCAGATAGGGAGAGATGTGGGTGATCCAGAGACACATATCTGACAGGGAAATTTGATCCAAGGTTGGTGTATTGAGGCGTAATAATCCACTACATCCAGCCTTCCTAAAGTACACATCAGCAACTCCGGCCGAAACGAAAACAATTTTCGAATGCCAAAGTCTAGATAAGACAACCCTCAAATCCATGCCCATTCATATAAAGAAATTGAGAATCCCGCCAAAAACTGCCGAGTGAGTGCTATATTAAACCGCTCCTTTACTTGCGAATCTTCACCCTTCATAAGATCCAGGGTAGGCTTGCTTGGGCAGATGGCCTGCTGACTCATCCATCTGCTCTTTAAACTCTTCCAAAACCCAAAACTTCCCCTTTTTCTTCGTATTGACTTCCCGTTTATTGGTGCTTCATAGTTTCAAGTAGAAGGTCAAACCATGTCGGATGCTCAAAAACATCCTCAATCCTAAGCTGGTAGCCTTGCCGTTGCATATGAGCGGCTAACTGGCCCGCATTGTGGGCATCACCACCCAGTTCGAAAAAGGTTTCGCAGGACAGATCACTAGGCACATCATGGTGTCTGAGCACATTCTTCCAAGCACTGCCGAGGTCATCTCTTAGCTTGCTCGGACAACTCTTGAGCATCATTATTTGCTCGCTAGTTGGCGGAGCGATATTTGTCCTTGCATCGCCTGTCACAGGCAGCAAGGCCGATTGATTCTGAATGTCGCCGGGTGCCATCAATTTCGTGTCCAAGTCTTTGTAGAATTCAGTGATGGTGCGAGTCAGATCTGAAGCGAGCTGGTCTGCCAGGCAAGGAGAGACGGTATTGTGGGTAAAGGTAAGGTCGATTTCTGTGCTCTCTGGGCTTGGCGTAGACGTGATGTAGACTTCGACGCTGTCAATATCACCGGTCGAAAGGTCGGAATGATCGAAATCTTTAACAGGGTCTTCCTCCTGGCGATTCTCATAATTCTGGTGCACAATGACTGAACCAAAATAGGCCCACTTGGGCCAACTTGTGCAGTTGCGGATGATGTCTCGGGAGCCCATTGTCTCGTACGGCATGCTGGCCATCTGCTGAGAGTTGACGGCGGAAATGAGATCCCGGGCCGTCCAGTTTTCTTGGAAGATGAGGCGACAAGGGACGATATTAACGCAGGGACCGAAAACGTCTTGTGTGCCTGGCAGGTTGCGGCCGTGTACCAGGGTGCCAAAAACAATGTCGCTAGTTGCTGAGTGTTTTGAGAGGACATATGACCACGCTGCTTTCAGGACGGTAGCAAAGGTAAAGTCTCTAGACTGCAAGTTGCATGCTGGTATAGTCTTGGCAACGGTTGGACCAAGCCCGTAGCTGAGACGGGGTGCGGCCTGGCTTTTGATGGGTGTTCGTGTGCTTCCTTGCAGCATGTCTCGCCAATATTCTGCGGCGCTTTGGTTATGGACTAGGGACAAAGTATGCATATAATGAGAGAAACTCGACCCCATGCTCATATCATTGCTCGAGGCTGAGCTATAGCACTCTTCGAAAGCGGACCACATTTTGGCTAGTGCTGTTCCGTCATACTGGGCATGGGAAAGACGAATCACAACGCGGGCCTTTTTCTCACGCATTTGGTGAATGATGCGGATCTTGGTGGGTGTCTTTCCAAACTCCATTTTGCACAGCAAGTCTTGCTTCTTCAATCTCAATGTAAAGTCGTCCAAACTCTCTACTGTTGTTCGAAAGATGTCAACTTCTCCAGCTGTCTGTGTGAGCACAGCCTGCAGGAACTCATCCTTGTATGCAAAGAAGACCGTTCTCAGCATATCGAGACGTTTGACGAGGCGGAAGCAAGCCCGATGAATTTCATCAAGATCGAAATCATGTGAAAAGTCGCGTGTGTGGTAGTACACGGAGCTACGAGCCGATGTGTAACTCGTTAGGAGATAGCGAGCCTGCTGGTCGGTAACAGGAAGAATGTCCTCCACATTGTCCGTTGAGACACCGAGATGAAACAGGATCTGCTCAATTGCCGGTTGGCTCTCTGGTAGCAAAAGTGAAAACCGTTGGTAACTCGGCGCAGAAACAGCTGACCTATCGTTCCCCTTTCGCAGATGCAAGGCCATGTGTGAAAGTTTTGGATTGTTGAGTATATCAGCAACAGAGAGCTCATACCCTTCGCTTCGGGCCCGAGTGGTGAGCTTCATGGCGAGAATGGAGTCACCGCCAAGTTGGAGAAAACTATCGTCGGCACTAATTGAATCGGCGTCAACACCGAGTGTGTGAGCCCAAAGTTTCTGCATATATAGCTCTGCCGCTGTCGACGGCGGTCGGCGTTCTTGTTGCGATTGTGCCGACCTTGTAATCTCCGACATTGTCATGCTCGCCCCCAATGATCGGAGTTCCTTGCGGTCCAACTTACCAGTCGCAGAGAGTGGTAGCTTATCGACCATAATATAGGCCGATGGAATCATGTGTCTGGGGACCTTGGAGGCAAGGCGGTCATTGATACCCTTCGTCAGTGCCTGCACTTCCGACTCGAAACTCTCAAACTGCCGGGATGACTGTATGAACGCAGCCAACATTGGCTTGTCACCATCGCTGGGGGTTATTATTTCAGCGGCAAGCTGGACTTTGATTTCGGTCCCGAGGCTTGCCGCCAGATTGTATTCGACATCGCCGAGTTCCAATCTTTGGCCGTTGACCTTGATCTGGCCGTCTTTTCGACCGATAAATGTTAGACTTCCGTCAATATCATACTGGACAAGATCACCAGTTCTGTATACACGCCCATTGCGGCCTCGGTGGCCAGGACCACCGTGGAGCAGCCAGGGCGGATTATCAATAAAAACCTCTGCAGTCTTTGCAGAGTCATTGAGATATCCGGATCCTACAAGCGGCCCCTCCAACACCAACTCGCCTACTGTGCTTATTGGCGCCAATTTGGAGGGGTCTGAAGGGTCGACAACCCAAGTACACAGACCAACACCACGACCAATGCTAGCCGCTGAAGACGAGCCGGATCCGTCAATATCGGCCACTGTAGCCTTGACTGTACATTCTGCCGGGCCGTACATGTTGAGCACACGTGCATGCTTCGACCATTGTGAAGCCTGGTGATTGGAAAGCGCCTCCCCAGCAAATACTACGGTCTTCAGGCTGCCCAAGTCTGACGGTTGTAGTGTGCTTGCCACAGATGGAGTAATGTCTATGAAATTGGCGTCATACGCCCGGACTGAGCCAGGAATATCGTCAATAGCCTCTTGCTGTGAAGGAACACAAAGGCAGCCGCCAGCAGCCAATGTATGTATGAAATTTGACCAGCTGATATCAAAAGCATACTTTGCAAGGTCATATACACGCGATGATCTATTGAAGCCTGTAATAGCTTGTTGATGATGAATGGCGCTCATAAAGTTGGAATGAGTAACCATAGCACCTTTTGGAACGCCAGTGCTTCCCGATGTAAAGACGAGATAAAGATTGTTCCACGGCTCAACGTTTGGGAGTGTCTTGTGCAAAGGGTGTTTGTAAAGGTCTTTTTCGTAGTCATCGCCCAATACTACCATAGTTCGACTCGTCAAATGCTTCGCAAGCTTCTGACTTGATGACGAGGACAGAATCAAAAGCGGATCAACTTGCTGCAAGATAGTACGGAGCCGGTCTTGAGGCAATGTGATATCTAGAGCCACAGAAGCGCCTCCTGCTTTCATAACAGCAAGCATCGCTACAGGCATCCAGCGAGACTTCTCAAAGCAAAGAGGCACAATGGCATCAGGGCCAACGCCTAGCGTCACAAGCCGATGGGCGATGTGAGTTGCAATTGAATCTATTTCTTGATATGTCCAGTGGCCATCCCACGCGCAGACTGCCGGTGAATCAGGATGCTTGGAAGCATTATCGGCAATCAAGTCGTGCACGGTTAGGTTGATAGTCTCAGGTAAGACTGCGTTCCACTGCCAAATCTGTTCCAAGTCCTTGGCACTGACGGTGTTGATGTCGACAAGCTTGCGCTGTGCCCAATCTGGATCGCACAGCTGACGTAGAATTACGTCAAATTGAGCCGCGAGTCTCTTCACCTGGACATTTTTGATCACTTGAGAGTCGAACCTAACGCGAAGCAACGCGCCAGTCGGCTCAAGATCACACTCAATCGTGATGGCATGCGTATCAAAGTTGGCAAAAGAATCATCATCGGTATCGTCCCCGTTCATACGGCCATCTTTCTCGACTTCAACATCGGTGTCAAGGAAAAGAGGACTTGTGGACTTGCTTGGCTGCTCAAATGGGTGGATGAGCAGCAGTGTTTGAAACTCGCACGCTTGTTTGGCTAAATCGTTGACTTTTTGGATTTTCTGCAGACCAGTCTGTTCAAATGCTGTCATATCGACAACTTGGTCCTGGATTTGCTGCAGAAATTGGTCCACGGTGCTTGCATTATCAAGAGCTACCCTGATCGGTACTGTAGCAATAGTTGGACCTGTCATGCTCTCGACCCCTGGGACTGGCGCTTGGCGGCCAGTGACAGTCGCACCAAAGAGGGCATGTGAATGGTCAGAGTGGCCTGCGATAAGGATGGACAGGGCCGCACGTATAGCGGTTGATGCTGTCGTCTCCGTTTTTGGCCACTGTATGTCTTTTATGTGATGTGAAACTCCACTATCAGAGCGAGGCTGGTAGACCGGCGAGGGTAGTGATGGGAACAATGGAGTGTGGATCTGTCCAAACTGTGATGCCCAAAACTCATCAGCAACTTTGTCATCACCTTGACCGATAAATTTGACAAAGTTTTGGAATGGGGGCGGTGTTTGCAAGACCGTTCCATTGTATGCCATCTCAAGTCTCTCAAGAACAATTGGCACTGACCAGCCATCGTACAAGGCGTGGTGTACAGTCCAGACGAAAGAGTATCGGCCATTTGAGCTTCTGGTTATGGCATATCGCATGAGGGATGAGCCCAAGCCCATGCCTAGCTGTTTGTCATTTTCCTGGTAAATAACAGTATCGGTGATTCTTGGCCAAGCAATCGATTCGTCTGAAATAATCGCTTGAGTCAAACCTTGAAGGCCAATATCGACAATACGTGTTCGCAGAATAGGCGTTGTTTCCAGAACATGCTCCCAAGCCTGCTGGAAGAGAGTGATATCAATGGTAGATTGAAGTTGAAAGGTGTTTTGGGCAATATAATCTCCTGGTCGTCTCAAAGTCAGAGCCATCAGGCCTTCTTGTAAGGGTGTACAGGGAAATGCGTCTTCAACGTGTGTAGCGTCAACGTTGCAGAGCTGAGAAATCCGGGCCCGAATCTCGGATGGAGTCTGATCTCCGTGCAGCAACGAGAACGGTGCGGAGATTTCAGGTTGATTGCTGGCTGAGCTTCGAATGGTTTTAGCAAGATCAGCAAGGCGTGGATGTTTGAATATGTCAGTCACCGTGACTGAAAGCCCACAGTCACGCGCCAGACCAGCAAGCTTCATGGCACCAACAGAATCGCCCCCAAGGCGTAAGAAGCTGTCATCGGTGCCGATAGATTCGCGAGGTAGTCCGAGGACAGAGGACCAGAGACCTTGGAGCTGAATCTCTTGAGATGTTGTTGGTGTCCTTCTTTTTCCCTGCGTCGGACCATGCGCCATAAGCTCGATTCTTTTAAGTTGCTCAGCCATGGTGCGGAGCGAGCGTCGATCCGTCTTGCCCGAAGGTGTCATTGGTATACTTCCAAGCAACATGTAACCAGTGGGTATCATGTATGCAGGTACCTGGGCCACGAGCCTGTCAAGAAGACCAGCTGTGATCTCGTCCAAGCCTGGAGACACCTCCCCTTCAACGGCCAAGAAAGCGACAATCATCTGCTTCTCGCTGTCTTGAGGCTTCACCACATCCACAACTACTTGAACATTATAACTGCAAGTGATACTGGATCGGACGTAGTACTCAATATCACCGAGTTCCAAACGTTGACCGTTTATCTTGATCTGACTGTCTTTTCGGCCTAGAAAGGTCAAGCTCCCATCTGGCAGATAGCGAACAAGATCTCCAGTTTTATATAAGCGTCCGTGGCGTCCGGCATGGGTCGCGGAGCCTCGGAGTAGCCAAGAAGGGTCCTCGATGAAAGAAGTAGCGGTTCTCTCCGCATCATTAAGATAACCGGGACCGACTAGTGGACCTTCGAGGAACAGCTCGCCAGTGCTTCCGAGTGGTGCAAGGGAGTCTCCTGTAGTACTTACAACCCACGTGTTCAGGCCAAGTCCGCGGCCAATGCTCACCGCTTCAACGTTACCGGAGTGAATATTTGCCGATGTGGTGGTAGGCGTACATTCACACGGTCCATAACAGTTCTGGACATTTTCCACCATACTAGACCAATACCTCGCCAATTCAGGTGAAAGAGGCTCGCCACCGAGGATCAATGTGTCCAAACGCTTTAATATACTAGGCGGAAGAAGCTGGGCGGCTGAAGCGGTCATGTCTACGTGAGTGACCTGGAATCTCTCTAGTGATCCAGCCAGATCACTCTGGCGTTCAGCATTTGATGGAATGCAGAGAGTGGCACCGCTCGCAAGAGCGGTTAGCACATTGGACCAACACTGGTCGAATGTGTAAGACGCAAAATCATAGACTCGGGAGCCAGTCTTGAAGTTGTACATGCCATCTTGATGACGGAGGGCACTGACAAAATTCGAGTGACTAATAACCACGCCTTTTGGGGTTCCGGTACTGCCAGAAGTGAAGACAATATAAAGCGTGTTGGAGGGCATCACACTAGAAATGGCTGTTCCCGAATCGAGTGGCGCTTCCAATCGGGCCACATTCATCTCTTCGACCACAAAGATAGGCTTTTGGCTTAATGGTCTGATGATATCCTGGCTAGCAGGTGAACTGAGTATAATAACCGGCGACACTTGTTGCAGAATAACTCGTAAACGTTCTTGGGGGAGAGTAGAGTCCAAAACCACGCTCGCGCCACCGGCCTTCATCACAGCAAGCATCGCCACTGGTACCCAACGAGACTTTTCAAAGCAGAGCGGAACTATCGTTTCAGGACCGACACCAAGACGAGCTAATTCATGAGCAAGTGTAGTAGACAGCTTATCTAGCTGCTGATATGTCCAATCTCCATCCCAAGCGCAGATGGCCATGGAGGAGGGAAACTTAAGTGCTGTCTGAGATATCACATCGTGTGTTAAGGACTCCACTTTCTCAGGAACGACAGAGTTCCAATTCCACATCTGCTCAACGTCATCCTGGTCAACCATGCTAATATCGGCGATGGTGCCAAACAATGCCTCTTCATTAACGAGAGATGCGACAATGATCTTCAATAGGGCAATGGCACGCTCAGCTTGTTTGTTTGTCAAACAAGATTGTCGATAGTCTATTGAAAAGGATGCCTGCTTCTTGCCATAACTAATATCAAAAGAAAGGTCGTACTGCATAACACATCAATTATCAAAATCGTGGACATTCGTTTTTTTCATGCGGGAAATAGACTTACCTCAATAGGATCCTCAGAATCCATATCAATAAACACCAGTCCGCCGATATTGATACTGCCCTGCGCCTCAAAATCATCCTTTTGAAAGGAAACAATCGTGTTAAACAGAGAAATACCGGGTGCAAGCTCGAGTTCGTGCTGTATATCAGCAAGAGAACAGTGTTGATAGTCCAAGTCTTCCAATAATTGCTCATGAAGCCCCTGGATGAGCTGGTCTGGAGTCAAAGTACGCGATATATTGGCACGACAAACCATCATATTGGCAAAAGCATTAATCGAATCTCCGATCCCATCAACCTGCAGATCACGGCCCGATGCAATATAACCGAAGCATACAGCATCGCTCCCAGTGTAACTAGATAGGAGCAGCGCCCAGGCGCTCTGGAATATGCTCGCCGGAGTAACTGAATGGGCTTCACAGAAATGTTGGATTCGTGTAAAGTCGTCTCCACCGAGGTCGACACTGACTGTGCCAGTACTAGCAAAAGGCGATTCAGACAAACGAGGAAAGTGACAGGGCTCTACTTCCGCGAGCTTATTCTTCCAGTGCATCATTTTCTTGTCTACATCGCTGGTCTTGAGAGCCTGGGCTAAACTGCGATTTGGTCCATTCAGCACTTCTGTGCCCAGCATTCCGCTGTAAGCCTTGGACCAGTCACTCAACATGATGGCTGTAGATGCTCCATCTACAATGGCGTGGCTCATCTCGATCTGACAGATGGTTGAGTTATCCTCCGCAACTTCGCAGAGAATAAGACGGCAGGGCGGCTTCGATCTTCCCTGGTCGATAACGGGCAACTGCCGGATCAAAGCTACAGCCGCCGCCTTCGTTGAGCCTTTGAGAACCATAACCTCTCCTCGATACTTCTCTAGCACGATCTGAACAAAGGCCGACTTCTTGTCGACGCCTTCGGCAAAAACGCTGCGAAGGGCTGGATGGCGCGCAATAACGGCTTGCCATGCCTCGATCAGGGTTTCCCTATCGAGGCGCTCCTGGCTGGTCTGTACCTCATACATGATCGACGTCATATAAGTTTCAGGATTCCGAATCTGACTGAGTAGCATGCCATCAACCATGGGAGAGCAAGGATAGATGTCGCCAATAGTTGTGGCAAGCTCGGACTGGAGGGGAGGAAGAATACGATTTTGCAACTCGTCCAGACAGTTGTAATCCAAGTCCAGAAACTCGTAATCCGCGGTTGTGAGCGAAGGCTTCAAAGCCAACAAGGACCTGCAAAGGGTCTGCATCGACGGAACAACTTGGGCGACCCAATCTCGGATGAGCGCTTGGTGACTGATATACCGGTTCCAAGAGAAGCTAAATTTGATGAGATCATCTACGATGGAGACGTCGATACTGAAGAGTGCAGAGGTGGGCAGCTCGGATCCAACATCGGAAACACCATCAAATGCGATACTCTCAAATAAAGAATCAGTTTCGATCTGCTGAAACTGGCCGTGATAGTTAAATAGCACTTCCATAATATTATCATGAGAGCCAAAGGCTTTAATACCCTCATCGTTGAGATAGCGTGAGGTGAAGTAGGCCCAGCCATTTGATGGGAGTCGCCTCCGTGCATCTTTGATCACCCTCGCATTGTTACTCACCGTTTCTTCGCGCGATATATGCATCGGTGTCAATGTGGTGAACCAGCCAACAGTGCGGGACAAATCAATGTCACTGCTCCATGGTTCTCGCCCATGCCCTTCGTTGAAGATGGTGAGGCCTTTACGTGTCTTGAAGGTGTCAAAGAATGCATTCCAAACTGACGCCAGAATCAAATCAACCGGCTCTGTGTCAAAAGCTTTGTTGGCTTCCCCGAGCAAGACTGCAGTTGTCTCACGGTCAATCTCGAATGATTGCTCAATGTGATCGTTAAAGGTGTTTAGGGTGTTTGGGGTGTAGTTCCAGAATGCAAGGTCATTGAGCACCTCACTGAACAATACTTTCTTAGGCGCGTAACTTGGCGCTTGAACTTCATGTCTCTGTAGACTATCCCAGGCTTGGAACGGCAGCTCCTTTTGAATTTTGCCACCGTTCAGCAGAACCTCCAAATCATCCAAAATGATGCGCCACGACACCAAGTCGACAATCAAATGATGAGCAATAAGAGCAAGGTACTGGTCACTTGACGGAAGGGTGAACAGGTCCGTGGCAAAAACCAACCCCTTCTCTATATTAAGCTCTTGGTGACGCTGAGCTATAATAGATTCAACAATGGCAAGAGACTCCGCCTGTGAGGATGAAAAATGATAGATAGCGTCGCTTGCTTTTGGAACTAACTGCGTCCACAAACTTGTCGTCTTATCGAAGGAGAACCGTGCCGATAACATCGAATGTTGGTCGACAAGACTACGAATGGCATGAGACACATCGTCGGGCCGTACCTGGCGCTTTACTCGAACATAAAAAGCCTGGTTACTGTAGTAAGTTGGTGTATTTACCTTTTCAGGTGGACACTGCTTGAAGAACCACTGTTGTATTGGAGAGAGATTGAAAGGCTTGTCAAAATCTTGCTCACAAGACACAGAGGGTCTCGTGGTAACGGTTGCCGATTCGGCTGCGCCGACGAGTGTCTTGCTTCTAAGCAGTGAGGCGACAGAAACAGAGATTCCAGATGCTCGACAATGCGGACTGATTTGCATGGCAGATATAGAATCACCGCCATTAGCGATCAAAGACCGCTGCATGTTGATATGGTTGACAGGGATACTGAGAACGTGGCTACATGCCTCTCGGATAACTTTTTCTGCTGTTGTTACTGGGTCACTGGAAGATGAGCCTATGCTAGATATTCTAGTGTGTGTTTCTGCATCGAGCGAACAAAGCCAGTTTTCGAGCAACTTTCGGTTCAACTTGCCTGAAGGTTGCAGAGGGATGTTTTTCAGAGCCACCCAGACAGTTGGGACCATGAAAGCAGGAACTGATTGGTCCAGCATACATTGCAGGGACGCGATGCACGCCTGTACATCCTCAGACTTGTCTCTTGGGATTAGATGTGTAGCGATACTTCCAATGTCACTACTGCCCTCGTAGATCCCATCAAGACTAAAGACGCCAACAAGCTTGCCGGTATAGTGCCCGGCCTTGGGAACCAGGCAAGCCGCTTGACGTACCGATGACAGACTCAGCATGTGATACTCAATTTCTTCCAGCTCCACGTGCTGGCCTTGAATTTTCACCATGGCATCTTTATGAGCAACGAAGACCAATGTACCATCTGCACTGTAGCGGAAAAGATCGCCAGTTTTGAAGACTTGACCTGTGCGGCCTGGATGGCTTAGGACCTCACAGCCACGGTTGAGCCATGGCGGATTGTCAACGAAAGCTGCCGCCGCATCCTCAACATTACCTCCATGACACATGCTAACCAAAGGTCCCTCCAACAAAAGCTCGCCGACGCTCCCGATGGGCACAAGTTTCCCGCTGTCTCGGGGATCAACAATCCAAGTGTTCACACCAAGGCCTCTTCCGATGCTTGAGTCACTGACATCCTCTTGGCGAATAGTGCCCACAGTAGCCGTTATAGAGCTTTCGCAGAAGCTGTATGCAAGCTTGAGGTCTACTAATGGACTCCACCTTCTAGCTATGTCCACGGGAAGACGTTCTCCATCTAGTATCAAGGTTTGTAGTGACTGGACACAGCTTTCGTCAAGACAAGCCGCATCTGACACAGTAGTGTTCAATATTGTCGGTTGCCACTGGATTATTGACTGAGTTATTGAACTCTGCTGTTCGTGTTCGGAAGGAATACAGAGGCTAGCGCCACTTGTGAAAGTATGTGCAAACACTCTCCAGGTCATATGGGATGCATATGGCATGAAATCGTATACCCTGGAGTTGGACTTGTATCCTAAGGCACTTTGCTGGTACCTTACAAGGCTGGAAAGGTTCGCATGGGTAAGGATAGAGCCAAAGAGCGAACCAACCTTGCTCGTGGCAAAGACAAGGCACGCTTGGCTGGCTGGTTGAACAGTAGGTAGAGAGGCATCAGGATCTTTAGGCAATGTGTCCAGGCTAGTGTCAGTAATGACCATCACTGGACGGTTTGAGAACATGTGCGTGACTTCTTTGGTCAAATTCGAGATAACCAAGAGGGAAGGATTTGATTGCTCCATAATCGAGTCAATAATATCACCAGATAGGGATGTATCCAGCAGAACAGAAGCTCCGCCAGCTTTCATAACTGCCAACATGGCAAGGGGCATCCATCGCGACTTTTCGATATATAAAGCAACAACAGTATCGGGCCCAACGCCCAGATTGACAAAATGATGAGCGAGCTGACCGGCGTTATAGTCTAGTTCGCGATATGTCCAGTTGCCGTCCCATGCATTAACAGCATACGATTCAGGCTGGCTTTGAGCTGTCTTAGCAATGAGTTCATGGAGGCATGTATCTGCAGTCTCGAGAACGACTGAATTCCATTCCCAAATCGTTTGCAGGTCTTTTGCGGCTACCCTATCAATGCTGCGCAGCGAGTTCTGCTCGTGTTGAAGATTGTCGTGTTTCACTATTTGGAGGACCGTTTCCCTGAGCAACTCCACGATGCGGTGTGCTTGCTCATTGCTAAACCCAGAAGGCACACAGTTGATGAACAGCTTCACCAACTCGGCACTAAATGTTATGCTGATAGAAACATCGTATTCCGTGGGGTCGTCCCCGTCAGCGTCGATGAAGTCCAAGTCTGGGCTGATGGTCTCACCACCATCGACATCCTTTTGAAAAGACATGATGGTGTTGAACAGCTGCTGCCCGGAGACAATTCCCAAATCATGTTGAATATCCGCCAAAGAGCAGTGTTGCCATTCCATGTCCTCCAACACTTGATGGTGGAGAGACTGGACGAATCGTTGTTTAGTCCAGTCTGGCGAAATGTCTGCGCGACACACAAGCATGTTTGCGAATGCGCCAACTGCTTCCCCAATTCCGGGAACGTCAAGGTCTCTACCTGATGCGACGTAGCCGAAACAGACACTCTGCATACCTGCATACGATGCCAATGTGAGAGCCCAGGCCGAATGGAAGAGACTGGCCGGCGTGACTGAGTGAGACTCGCAAAACCTTTGCACAGAAGCAAAACCTTCCCCGTCTATATCAACAACTGACCACGAAACCACTTCCAAAGGTTGCGATATCTTTTGTAGATGTGGAAATAGACAAGGCTGAAGGCCATTCAACTTCTTCTTCCAATAACTCTTCTTGCTTTCCGCTAGATTGGCATTCAAAACACGCGCAAAACCACGACATGTCTCGTTTAGGTTATCCCTGCGCAAGATGCCTGCATAAGCCTTGGCCCATTCTTCAATGACGATACCAGTAGATGCACCGTCTGTAATTGTGTGACTCATTTCCATCCGACAAAAGATGCTGTTCGTATTCATGACTTTACAAAGTGTTATACGGTGAGGTGGTCTGAGTTGCTGGTAATTCACCTTTGGAAGATTCCACAGTAGCGTTTGCGCAGCTTGCAGGTTGTCACTCTCAAGCAGCACAATATCGCCCTCACACTCCTCCAAGACGACTTGATTGTGCACGGAGCCAGAGTCTAGACTCTCGATGAAAATACTCCTCAGAGATGGTTGGCGGAAAATCAAATCTCGCCAAGCAGAAGACAACTGGTCCACGTTGATAGTACGATAGCCACGCGGTTTAATCTCATAAAACTGAGAAGTTTCGTAGAATCCAACCCCTTTGGATTGGCTCAGAAGCATTCCCTCCACCATTGGAGAGCAGGGATAGATATCCACTACTCTCGTACGGTTTAGTTTCTCGATTTCAGGAATGACGCTTCTTTGTAGCCGGTCCAAGCCCGCGTAGTCTAGATTTAGAAACTCGAAGTCGATGAGCGTTCGCTCCATCGGCTTAGATACTAGGGTCTCACACAAGAACTGTAAGCAACTGCTAAAACGATCAGCCCATTGACGAATAAGATTCTGATGGCAGATGTGTTTGTTCCATGCGAATGAGACATGAGTCTCTCCTCCCTCGATAGACATGTTGATGTTGAACAGCGAAGAGGCGGGGAGGTCCGACCCCACGTCAGATACATTGTCAAGTGTAATGCTTCTGAAGAAGGAATCTTCGCATTCTAGCTGCTGGAACTGACCATGATAGTTGAAAACCATCTCCATTACCGAATCGTGGGAACTAAAAGCATCGACCCCTTTGCTATTCAGATACCTCGAAGTGAAGTAAGCCCATCCATTGCCGGGTTGTTTCCTCCTTGCATCCTTGACAAGTCGGACAATGTGCGCAAGGTCACTACCCATGTTCTGTCGTGAGATATGTATCGGGCTCATTGTGGTGAACCAGCCCACCGTTCGAGATAGGTCAATCTCAGCACTCCAGGGCTCACGGCCATGCCCCTCGTTGAAAACTGTGAGGCCATTTCGTGATGGAAAGGTAGAAAAGAATGCGTCCCATAATGCTGAAAGGAGCAGCTCGACGGGTTCAGTGTCAAAGGCGTAATTTGCATCCTTTAAGACGAGTGATGTGGTGTGCCTATCGATTTTGAATGATCTTTCGACATGGTCACATGTTGCGTTTGGAGTCTCTGAAGTAAATCCCCAGAAATTCAGATCATTGCAGACACCTGCCGTGGACAAGACATGTTGCGGGTCGAACCTAGAGGTTTTTGCCTCCTCCTGTTGCAGGCCACTCCAAATCTGGAACGGCAAGCTTGGCGGCAGAGTTCTGCCTGTAAGAAGAGTTTCCAAATCATCCAGAATAATTCTCCAAGAGACAAGGTCAATGACTAGATGATGGGCTATCAGAACTAGATATTGCTCATCTACGTTAAGTTGACAGAGGTCGGCAGAGAATACCAGGCCCCGTTCAATGTCTAGAAGCTGTTGACGACGTCCAGCGAGAGACTGCATCTCTGTCATTGACTCTAGGCTTACAAAGGCAAAATGGTATATTGATTCATCCGTTGGAGGGATAGTCTGCATCCAGACAGAGTCTAGAAGCTGAAACCGGGCACGAAGCATTGAATGCAAGTCCACGAGTTTTGCAAGCGCGCTGCGGATATCCTCTGGATCGATTTGTTGGTTGATGCGAACGTAGAACGACTGGTTACAGTGGTAACTTGGCGTGTTGACGAGGTTATTTGGAGCTTGGTCAAAGAACCATTGCTGAATTGGTGTCAGGTAAAATGGTTTGTTAAACTCTTCTGCATCGTGGAAGAGCTCTGTGTCTGCAGCAGCAGAAGCGAGATTAGCCACCTCAGCCAAAGTCCTGGACTTGAGTAAAGTGGCCACAGAGAAGATAACGTTTTCCGAACGGCAGTATGGACTCAACCGCATAGCCGATATAGAATCTCCTCCATTTGATATGAAGGAGCGCTGAAGATTGATTTCAGAGGCTGAAACGTTCAAAACAAGGCTACAAGCATCCCTTAAAACTCGTTGGGCTTGGGTATCCGGTTCTTGGCAAATAGCGCCATCACCAATGTCGAACAGCTTGGCATGCATCTCTTGTTCCATTTCAATAAGCCACAATTCAAGCCTCTTACGGTCTAGCTTGCCAGATGGATTGAGAGGAATATCCTTCAAGGCAATCCATTTTGTGGGAACCATGTAGGAAGGTAGAGAGCTCTCAAGGTTACTCTCCATATCTTCAATGTGACCTCGAACAGCACCAGTGAGGTTTTCAACCGTCAATTCAGCGCCGGGCGGCGAATCCAAAAGCGTTGAATCCTCCGTGAAGCTCAAGCTGGCAAGACTGCTTTCAGGCGATGCCGAGCTGGTGGCCGGAGAAGGCGATCGTTGATCCTGTTCTACGTCAAGTTGGTCACGACTAGGCTGCTTATTCTGGATGCTGAAGATGCAGACGAGCGTGTTAGCCCAAGGCCCCGATTTAGGGAACAGGCATACTGATTGTCTTGTTAGGTGGTGGCGCGCGACGTGGTTTTCTATATCTCCTAGTTCCACACGTTGGCCATGAATCTTGACTTGAGCATCCTTGCGCCCGACAAAACTGAGAGCACCGTCTTCGTCGTAGTAGACCAAGTCACCAGTCTTATATAAGCGCCCGTCACGACCGGGATGGCCTGGGCCTCCTCGGGTAAGCCAGGATGGGTTGTTGATGAAGACAGAAGCAGTCTTTTCAACATCTTCCAAATAGCCAGGCCCGACGAGTGGTCCCTCAATCATCAACTCGCCGATGCCTCCTATAGGCACCAAGGACTCGCCAGTTATAGTGTCTACAATCCAAGTGTTGACACCTCTTCCCGTGCCTATACGCGCTGCGTTGGGATTGATTGGGTCTACATCGGCGACGGTAGACGTCGGCGTACATTCGCAAGGACCGTACGAGTTCTTGAGATCCACGAGAGGCGCCCACTTCTTGGCACACTCATCTTGCAGCCTCTCACCTCCCAAGATCAAAGTATCGAGGGACTTGAGGGTTGCCAAAGGTAGCACCTTGACGGTTGAGGGCGTTAATTCACAATGAGTGACCCCGAATCGTTGAATTGAACCAGCTAAATCATCGCGTCGCTCGTCTTCTGACGGAATACATAAACAGGCGCCACAGTCAAAGGTCGCCAGCATGTTCTGCCAAGATGTATCAAATGCATAGGACGCAAAGTCGTAAACTCGCGCATCAGGCCTACTGTCAAACCCATGAGCGCTATGCTGGTGTAGCAGAGAGCTGCTGAAATTGGCATGCGTAATCCGTACGCCCTTAGGAATGCCAGTACTTCCCGAAGTGAAGACAATGTAGAGCGTGTTTGACGGCAGCACTTTAGGCAGGGCCTCGGAGTCGGGCACCCCCAGTGAAAGTAACAGCTTTTCGTCAATCACAACTAGAGGCTTGCCATCTGACAGGCCGGTCGCCACTGCCTCGTTTTCTAAAGATGAGAGAACAAGTTTCGGCTTGACCTGCTGCAAAATGATCAAGAGTCGATCCTCGGGCAAGTTGGGATCTAGCATAACACAAACTCCACCAGCCTTCATGACACCAAGCATTGCAACTGGAGTCCATCTTGATTTCTCAAAACACAGAGGAACAATGACTTCTGGTCCTACTCCAAAATGCAGTAGATGGTTAGCTAGACGTGACGACAAGTCATCAAGCTCCCCATAACTGAGATTGCCATCCCAAGCGGATATGGCAGGGGCTTTAGGTTGTTTCCGAGCCTTTGCGATGATTACATCGTGTACAAGACCCTGAACCGTCTCCGGAACAGTAGCGTTCCACCCCCAGATATCTTCAAGATCCCCCTTGCTGATCAGGTCCAACTCTCCCAATCTCCTCTTTGCGTGGTTTGGATCACACAATAGCCGCAGAATATGCTCCATCTGTGCAGCCAGCCTTTCGATCCGACGCTGAGTCAGGATGTCCTGATCAAACTCGATCCTCAGGTTCAGACCACGCTGCAACATATCACATTCGATTGTGATGGCGTGTGTATCAAATTCTGATAGCTGGACCTCTTCACCATCTCCATCACTACCTTGACCCTTGGGGGCAAAGATCAGAGACTCGGATTGTACTGCCTCCTCTGGAGGATGTATGAGCAAAAGTGTTTGGAAGTCGCAGGCCTGCTTCGCTTTGGGGCTCATTTGACGAATATTCTGCAACCCCGTCTGCTCAAATTCGGCCATTTCCACGGATTGAGCTTGAACCTGTCCAAGATAAGTCTCAACGGTCCGTTCCCAATCCAAGACTACTCGGACTGGCACGGTTGCGAGTGTAGGACCCGTCATCGCGTCCACTTGCTCAACATTAGCCTGCCGACCGTTCACTGTAGCTCCAAAGACTATATCATCCGAGTTTGTGTACTTCGCCACCGAGATAGACCATGCCGTGCGAATGGCTGTGGATGCTGTGATGTCGCTCTTTGGCCAATCTAGGTCGCTGATATAATGGGAGAACGATGAGTTGGCAAGTGGCTGATATGCGGGAGAGGGCAAAGAAGGGAACACTCGGGCCTCGGAATTCTCAAACTGCGCCTGCCAAAATCGCTTTGTGCGCCCCTCATCAGTGCTCATAATGCGTTTAACAAAGCGTTGAAAAGGAGGAGCCTCCTGAAGAGCCACCTCTCCCTTATATGCCACTTCCAACCTCTTTAGAATGCGCGGCATAGACCATCCATCATAGAGGGCATGATGGATCGTCCACACGAAAACGGAACGTTGCTTCTGATCAGGGTCGTGAATGACGGCATATCGAACAAGTGCCTTGCCCAATCCCATCACGAGCTTCTCGTCCGATTCTCGATACTCTTGGATACTAGAGCACTGAGTCCAAGCCACATCTTGCTCTAGGATAGCCTGGGCTAACCCTTGGCCTGGCAGGTCAACAATGCGTGTGCGCAGAATCGGGTCCATCCGCAAGACCTCTTCCCAAGCCTTTTGGAACCGAGCCACGTCAATGGTCTCCCGTAGCGGCATCTCGTGCCGAGCCACGTAGTCACCAGCTCGCTTGGCCGTCAGTGCAAGAAGGCCTTCTTGCAGCGGCGTGCACGGAAATATATCTTCGATCTGGTAGCTATCAACCTGACACAGCTCGGCAACCTTATTCCGCGCCACCTGAGGATCAATATCGTGGTTGAGGAGAGAAAATGGCTGAATAGTGTCAAAATCTGTGCTAGAGACCTCCGTCAACACCAAGGCCAGATCGCACAGCTTGGGCTGCTTAAATATATCCGTGACCGTGAGGCTAAGCCCCTCCTCACGAGAAAGTCCCACCAGCTTCATAGCACCAATAGAATCCCCTCCAATCCTGAGGAAACTATCATTTGCGCTGATCGAGTCAGCTTTGACACCCAGGACGGATGCCCAAAGGCGCTGCAGACGCTTCTCTGTGATTGTGCTGGGTGGCTTGTGTTGGGCTTGGCGAGAATTGAGCGCCATGACTTGCTCAAAGGTCAACTCCTGGCCCATCTCACGCAATCGACGACGGTCAGTCTTGCCGGTTGTTGTCATGGGAATATGGTCTATTAACAGATAACCGGCCGGAATCATGAAGCTCGGTACTTTGGAACCAAGTCTCTCATCAAGGCCGGCTGTAAGCTTCTTGGTCTGCTCAACGCGTTGCTTATTGGATGACAATACTTTTCCCCCGGTGTAAACGAAAGCTAGGAGGAGAGACTTTTTGCTTCCCTGGGGCTTGATGATTTCAGCGAATATCTGCACAAGCCCGTCATGGATGATATTCGACCGCACATGATACTCAACATCCCCAAGCTCCAGCCGCTGACCGTTAATCTTGACTTGAGCATCCTTTCGACCTAGGAAAGTCATGCCCCCGTCTGAATTATAGCGTACTATATCTCCAGTCTTATAAAGACGTCCCCTGCGGCCAGTATAGCCCGGCCCTCCACGAGCAAGCCAAGTCGGATCTTGGATAAAGGCGGCCTCAGTTTTGACGGGATCGCTCAGGTACCCTGCGCCGACAAGCGGCCCTTCAAGCAAAAGCTCGCCAGCAGCACCAAACGGCACAAGCTGGTTATGGTTTGTCGGTTTAGCAATCCAGGTACACAGGCCGAATCCCCGACCTATGCTAGCAGCTGATGCACCACGACCAGCCCTGCCAACCTCTTCAAATGTTGCTTTGACACTACACTCTGCAGGACCATAGGTATTGAGAACAGTCACTCTCTCGGCCCACTGCGCAGCAAGATGACTTGTCAAAGCCTCGCCGCTGAACAACAGATGGTCCAGCGTAACAAGATCGGTTGGGCGTAGAGTGCTAGCGACAGATGGGGTCAAATCAGCAAAATTTGCCTTGTACGAGATCATGGAGCTGGTGATATTATTAGAAGTTTCGGTCTCAGAGGGGATGCAGAGACAGCCGCCTGCGGTCATGGTATGCAAAAAGTTGGACCAAGTCACATCAAACGCATATTTCACAAAATCATATACGCGTGATGTGTTTCTGAAACCCAAAGCTTTCTGCTGATACCGAATAGCACTGCAGAAGTTAGAATGCGTGATGGCAACGCCTTTAGGAATTCCAGTGCTACCAGATGTGAAGACCACATATAGCTTGTTGGATGGGTCTATGGCCGGCAATGATCTGGGAACAGCACCGAGCTGCTCAAGGTGTGTAGCGCTCACAGGGATAGCAACACAATCTGTGAGACGGTTTGCCATTTGCAGATTTGCCGAGGATGTTAGAATAACTATAGGATTCACCTGGCAAACGACGCTGCGAATGCGCTCCTGTGGAAGAGTGCTGTCCAGAGCCACGGATGCACCGCCTGCTTTCATGACGGCAAGCATAGCCACAGGCATCCATTTTGACTTCTCAAAGTACAAAGGCACAATAACGTCAGGCCCAATGCCATATGTAACAAGGTAATATGCGAGTTTCGTAGCAAGGGCATCCATCTCGGCATACGTGAAACCACCATCCCAAGCGCAGATGGCAGGCGAATCGGGGTTTTTCTGAACAACGTCGGCAATTGAATCATGTACGAGTCCATTGACCGCTTCAGGCACAGCCTTGTTCCACTTCCAGATGTCTTGCAAGTCTTTGTCGGTTATGCTTTCCATTTCAGCCAATGTTTGCGCGTTATGGCCGGCGACAGAGTCTACATTGCCGTCGCCAACGAGGGACATGATAGTTTTTTCCAGAAGTAAAGCAACGCGATTGGCCTGTTCATTAGAAATACACGTTAGTCGGTGTTCAAGCGTGAAGCAGGCCGAAACGTCGGTATATCTTATGTTCATCGTAATATCATACTCGGTCGGATCTTCCCACTCAAGATTAGTGAACAACAAATCTCGGGTCCTTATGCCTTCATCGAGATTATCGTTGTCCCTTTGGAATGACATGATGGAGTTGAAAAGATTTTGTCCGAATGGGAGACCTAGCTCGTGTTGTATATCGCCAATCGAGCAATGTTGGAAGCCCAAATCTTCCAAGACTTGCCCGTGTATGTATTGAACCAAGTCTGCGCCGCTCCAATCCGGGGAAATATTTACTTGGCAGATCATAACGTTGGCAAAAGCACCAACAGAGTTCACGATACCCTTGACAGGAAATTCCCGCCCAGATGCCAAATATCCAAAGCAGACAGAGTCGATGCCTGAATAGCTCGCGAGAACAAGAGCCCAAGCGCTCTGAAACAGGGTGGCAGGAGTCACAGACTGTGACTTGCAAAATTGCTGAACCCGATCGAATGTCTCTTTGCAGAGTTCCAAGGTGACTACTCCAGCATCATGCTCATCGACTATCAGCCCAGCATCAGTAAGACGTGGGAAAAGGCAAGGCTCCGTATTGGACAGCTTCTGCTTCCAGTAGGTCATCTTATCCGTTCCCGACACAGACAGAAGGGCTCGAGCGAATTCCTCACTGGTGTCACCTAGTTCTTCGATATTGAGCTCCCCAGAATAAGCTCGACCCCAATCTTGCATGGTGATGGCCGTTGAAGCACCATCAGAAATTGCATGGCTCATCTCGATTTTGCAGACAAAGCGGCTATCTTCCACGATGTCACAAACCACCAATCGATGAGCCGGCCTATCTAGAGTGTAATTGGCTTCGGGCAGTTCCCTAAGTCTAGTAATGGCTGATTCGAAACTCTGCTCTTTAAGAAGGGCAACGTCGCCACGGTAGGATCTTAGCACAACTGAATTGTACGCAACCGAGGCATCCATGCTATCAATGAATACAGTTCGCAAAGAGGGGTGTCGAGCGACAACCGCTTGCCACGCGTTGGTCAAGGCGTCAAGGCGACCCGAGCCAGATTTGACAGGTCGTATTTCCCAAGTTTGCGAAGTTTTATAGGAGCCTGTACCTTTTAACTGACTGAGAAGAATTCCATCTACCATAGGAGAAGATGGGTAGACAAACTCGATTTGTGCATTATTGACCTTTTCAATATGGGGTAAAATATCCTCATGGAGCTGATCAAGCCCTCTATAATCAAGGTTGAGAAACTCATAATCACAAAGTGTATTCTGAGCCTGTCTGTTGACTAGTTCTGCACATATGGTTTCCATTGAGGGGCCGATTTGTGCAATCCATGCTTGGATCAAATCCTGGTGAGCAAGATGTTGGTTCCAAGCAAATGAGATCTTGGTCACTCCAGATTCAATAACAACGTTAATATCAAACAAGACCGATGTCGGAAGAGATGGTCCAACGGCCGATACCCTGTCATCAAAATTACACGCGTCAAAGAGAGAGTCGGTGCGCTCCAGCTGTTGGAACTGTCCATGATAATTGAACTGGACTTCCATAACAGAGTTATGAGATGCGAAGGCAGCCATTCCCTTCTCATTCATATGTCTTGACACCCAGTAAGCCCAGCCATTGGAGGGTAACCGGCGTCGGGCATCCTTGACCGTCCTCACAATATTGGCGGTACTATTGCCCTCGCTTCGAGAGACATGGATGGGACAGATTGTTGTAAACCATCCTACAGTACGTGACAAGTCGATATCTGTCGTCCACGGCTCACGTCCATGGCTTTCATTAAAGATAGTAAGCCCATCTCGGGAACGGAACACATGGAAGAAAGCGCCCCAGATGGATGAGAGAATTAGGTCGACAGGCTCCGTGTTGAACGCAGAGTTCGCGCCTTTGAGCATCAGTGCAGTCGTAACTTTATCAACCTCGACATTTATTTCTATATGGTCCTCAGTATTGTTGGGCGTATTCTCGTTAAAATCCCAAAAACTATGGTTATTGTGCACATTAGTAGTAGAGAGGACCTTGTCCGGTAGGAACGTAGAGCACTGGGCTTCCTGTATTTGTAGCTTGTTCCAGAGCTGAAACGGAAGTCCATCGAGAAGCTTATTTCCGCTAAGTAAAGCCTCGAGGTCATGTAATATGATACGCCATGAAACGAGATCAACGACGAGATGGTGGGCGATTAAAGTCAAATATTGGTCATCACATGGCAACGTGTATAGATCTGCTGCGAAAACCAGGCCGCGCTCGATGTCAAGGCTTCGATGACTCTTGATCGTCTGGGACTTCACTTCATCCAAAGACTGGGCTTCAGAGGAGCCAAAATGGTAAAAGCCATCTTCTGGCTTGGGAACAATCTGCATCCATTCGTGATTAGAGTAGTGGAATCGCGCACGGAGCATGGAATGCTGCTCGACGATCTTGCGAATAGCTAGAGAGACGTTTTCAGTCGAAAGGTGACGGTTGATTTTGACATAAAACCCTTGGTTACAATAATAATTTTCCTTATTAACACATTCAGGTGGAGTCTGGCCAAAGAACCACTTCTGAATAGGCGACAGCTTGAAGCCCTTGCCAAATACTTCTTCGCCTCCTTGGGCACGATGTAGGTCTATGGCAGCAGCAGCAGAGAGCCGGGCTACATCGACGAGTGATTTGCTTTTTAGCAGCACGCTTACAGAAACGGCCAGTTTGGCAGCACGGCAATGCGAGGAGAGGCGCATGGCAGAGATGGAGTCGCCGCCATTGGTAACAAATGAACGCCCCAGATTCACTTCAGCGGGAGGAATGTTCAAGATAGCACTGCAAGCATCGCAAATAACACGCTCGGCGTGCGTCTCGGGTCCACGAGTTACAAATGAGGAACCCGCGTTACTGATTCTAGAGAAATCCTTTGAGCTTATGTTTATCAGCCAGTCTTCCACCAGACGGCGGTTCAGCTTGCCTGATGGATTCAAGGGAATGTTCTTAAGAGGGACCCAAATAGACGGTACCATGTATGAAGGCACAGCCTCTCCTAAGATTTGTTGCAGCGTTAGAATATGCTGCTGAATAGCGACATCATGCTTCGCATTGACAAGTTCGATCGGTGACATGTTACTTTCGGGGACGTCTTCCAAGCTAAAGATTCCAACGAGCTTTCTTGAGCAAAGGCCGGACCGAGGATACAGAGATACAGCCTGGCGCGTCAGTGAGTGACGGACCATGTGATTTTCAATTTCGCCGAGCTCTACTCGTTGACCGTTGATCTTGACCTGGGCATCTTTCCGGCCGATGAACATCAGTGAACCGTCTGTATTATACTTCACAAGGTCGCCGGTCTTATAAAGGCGGCCCTTGCGTCCAGACCTACCAGGTCCGCCGCGCAGGAGCCAGGGTAGGTCATCGACGAAAGCCGCGTCCGTCTTTACTTGGTCGTTCAAATAACCCTGACCGACAAGGGGGCCTTCCAAGACAAGCTCGCCCATGGTACCAATCGGGACAAGAGTGTCAGCATCCGTTGGATCTGTAACCCAGGCACACATCCCGATGGCAGGGCCAAGAGGTGGTTCGCCATCCACGTCGGGGTCGACTGTGGCAACAGTCGCCGTGGGCGTACACTCACATGGCCCGTAACAGAGCTTCAGGTCGACGAGTGCTCCCCAACGCTGAGCGTACTCAGGGGACAATCTTTCACCTCCCAGGATCATTGTACGCAGGGATCGGATGGTATTATGCCCCAAGACCGTAGCGGCAGATGGGGTGATGTCGAGGATGGTTGGCTTGAACCGCTCAATAGATCCGGCGAGATCATCTCTGCGTTCGTTCTCTGACGGAATACACAGGCAGGCGCCAACAGTAAATGTATGCATAAAATTATTCCAGGTTGTGTCAAATGCGTACGAAGTGAAGTCGTATACGCGAGAATCAGGTTTGTACCCCTGAGCGAGCTGCTGGTGGCGAACTGCACTACACACATTTGCATGAGTGAGTATGACCCCTTTTGGGACGCCAGTGCTACCTGAAGTGAACATCAAGTATGCTTTATTCCACGGCTGGACTTGTGGAAGCTGCGTCAGGCATTTTTGCTCACTCCGCAACTGCTCTAGACGCTCCCTACTGAGAGCAATGATGGGTGCCACGGTGAGTGTGCTCGCCAGCTCTCTGTTACTCAGCGAAGTCACCACCACAACAGGGCTGATTTGATCTACAATGACTTGCAGACGTTCTTGCGGTTGGCTCGAGTCCATCATGACCGGCGCACCGCCTGCTTTCATAACGGCAAGCATCGCAATGGGCGCCAACATAGACTTTTCAAAATACAGAGGAATGATTATCTCGGGTCCAACGCCAACACTGACGAGGTAATACGCCAGGCACGTAGATATCTCGTCAAGTTCGCGATAGGATAAGTCACCATCCCACGCATTGACTGCCTGGTCATCCGGGATTGATTGAGCTTTGTGTGAGATTATATCGTGTAGACAAGTGTGCAAAGTTTCGGGACAGATGTTGTTCCATTTCCAGATATCATCCAAATCCTGGGCGCTTAACATATCCAAGCTACCCAGATGGCAGCTAGCATTGCTTGGAACACAAATCTGTCGAATGACATGCTCGAGTTGATGAGCCAGCCTCTCGACTTGCTTAGCATCCAAAATCCTGGCATCATAGGCAATACGCAGCCTGAGTCCCTCCCTTTCCAGACCACACTCAATGGTTAGGGCGAATGTATCATGATCGGTGACGTTGGTGTCGTCTTCTCCGTCTTCGTCCCGGTTACTCATGAACCAGCCACTCTTCCCTTTGTCTTCGCCATCCTCGACGTGGTGCACGACGAGCAAAGTCTGGAATCTACATGCCTGTTCAGCCTCCACGCTTGCACAGCGAATACGTTGCAAACCCGACTGCTCAAAAGCCGTCATACCCACCGCTTGGGACTGAACTTGACGTAGAAGACGTTCCACAGTCATTTCAGTCCAGTTGAAAGCAACTCGAACTGGCACTGTGGCAATTGTAGGTCCTACAATTTGCTCAACGTTGGGAACATGAGCTTGCCGACCAGAAACAGTAACACCAAAGACGATGTCGGAGCTAGCAGTATATTTTGCAGCCAAAAGCGTCCAGGCTGTCCGTAAAATTGATGCAGGCGTCGTATCAGTCTTTGGCCATTGGAGTTTTCTAACGCGGTGCTTGAAGAAGGCACTAGACATTGGCTCATAAGTGGCCGAGGGAAGCGACGGAAAGGTTTGAGCTTCAGATCCACGAAACTGCTCACTCCAGTAAGTAGCCGCCGTGATCTGGTCAATGTCCATTACGTGCTTGACAAATGCCTGTAGCGGTACTGAGGGAGTGATTGTACCGCATTCCTTAAAATGATATGCAGCTTCCAGCTTCTCCAATATCAGGGAAATGGACCAGGCATCGTAGAGGGCATGGTGAATGGTCCACACAAAGAAACGTCTACCATCAGCTGGGTCTTTCACAATGGCAAACCGTGCCATAGCTAAGCCCAGGCCCATTTCAAGCTGTTTATCAGCCAATTCATAGTCTTTGACACTAATCAGCTCGTTCTTGAATGACCAGTTGGTTGGTTCATCGACAATGATTTGAGCCAAGCCAAGGTCACCCAGATCAACAAACCGAGTTCGCAAGATAGGTACCGCTGCAACGACGGCCTCCCATGCTTCCGAAAACTGCTCGTAATCTATGCTGGCCTGCAGCGGGTAGATAAACCGTGCAACATAATCGCCGGCTCGCTTGGCAGTCAATCCAAGCAAGCCTTCCTGCAGAGGGGTGCATGGAAATGCATCAGTGACTTGCTCAGCCTGAACATTGCACTCACGTGCGATTCGCTGTTTGAGGTTGTCTTTCGACACTCCTACATTTCTTAACAGTTTGAATGGCTCGATTTCAAGTTCCTCAGTCTCGCTAGCCGCGACACAAGCTATTCGGGCTAGATCCCTTAAAACCGGGTGCTCAAAGACATCTGTGACGGAGAAAATGATGCCATGCTGCCGTGCTGCTGCGACAAGCCTCACGGCTCCGATAGAGTCACCTCCTATCCGTAAAAAGCTACTGTCCATAGGGATATTTTCTTCGCGAATGCCGAGCACGACTGCGCACAAGTCCCTCAGACGCATTTCGGTATTTGTAGACGGTTCTGATCGCGCGGAATTAGGGGACAAGTTGGTTCCTACGAGACTCTCCAAGTCCATTTGTCGACCTATCGCACGGAGCTTACCACGGTCAATCTTGCCACTGGGTGTCATAGGGATCTCGCTGAGTGGAATGCAGGCTGCTGGGATCATATGCGCTGGTACCTTGCCAACAAGTCTGTCGGGGAGGCTATTCGACAAGCTCTCGAACGCATCTTGTACAGTCGTTTCATCAAAGGATGCCTCGGTGGCCCCAATGTGTATAAAACATACAAGCATTGAATTTCTACCGTCCTGAGGCTTCACAACTTCTGCGATGACTGTTATATTTAAATTTGGACGGTGAAGGATGTTAGATCGGACCTGGTGCTCAATATCGCCCAGCTCAACACGCTGGCCATTGATCTTGACTTGGGAGTCCTTACGTCCTAGGAAAATCAGGTTTCCATCTATGTCGTACCGTGCAAGATCCCCAGTCTTGTATAAACGCCCATGGCGACCACAGTGATTGGGACATGCCTTCAAGAGCCAGTCTGGGTCGTATATGAAGGCATCAGCCGTCTTTTTGTCGTCTCGAAAGTATTCCGCCGCCACAAGCGGCCCTTCCAGCAGAAGTTCGCCAACGCATCCCACTGGAACTAATTTAGAGTGATCCGAAGGCTGTACGAGCCATGTTCGTAGGCCTAAGCCGATGCCTATGCTAATGGGTTGACGCTTTTCCAGACCTGGAGACTTGTGAAGGACGACGCGTTGGGCCGTGCTAAACGTCGTACACTCAGTAGGCCCGTAGAGGTTAGTTATGGCGACGTCAGGATGCAAGCTTTTTATGTCATCAGCTGAGAGTGGCTCTCCGATGAAGAGAATGTGGTGTAGATCCCGGAGGGGCTGTAAGTCCAATCCCCGGATAGTCGAGGGGGTCAAAATGGTCGTGTTGGCACCAAGACGGCTGATAGCGCCGAGAGGATCGGTGCGGCGATCATGGTTGCTCGGGATACAGAGACAACCCCCTGCAGAGAGGCCCTGGAGAAGATTGCACCAGACCACGTCGAACGTGTAAGATGCAAAGTCGTAGACTCGTGATTCTTTAGTGAATCCAAGGGTACCCCGCTGGTGGCGGATGGCGCTGCTAATGTTTCCATGAGTTACGACCACGCCCTTTGGGGTCCCAGTACTGCCGGACGTGAAGACGAGATAGAGTCTGTTTGAAGAGTCTACTTTTGGGAGTTCTATGGATGATGTCGGTGTTGATGATATAGATGTTGAAGCACAAGGATGACTGGGCAGGTGCTCCTCGCCGACCACACCCAGGCTGCACGTGACCATTGGGCTCAGGCGGCGAGCAAGGTCCTGGTTCTTGGCCGACGTCAACACCACGACCGGTTCCAATTGTCGCACGATACTTCCAAGTCGATCCTCTGGCTGCGTGTCGTCGAGAGCAACAGAAGCTCCCCCAGCCTTCATCACAGCCACCATAGCTACAGGCATCCATTTTGACTTTTCGACGACTAGCGGGATAATGGTATCAGGCCCAACACCCAGACCAACGAGATGATGTGCCAGACGTGTCGACAGGTCGTCAAGCTCGCGATACGTCCAGCTACCATCCCACGCGCATACTGCCTCAGCATTCGGCTGCTGCCTCGTTATAGCAGAAATCAAGTCGTGCACAGCACCATCGGCCGTCTCGGGTACGCTTGAGTTCCAGCGCCATATCTGGGCGAGATCCTCTTGACCGATCAGAGCCAGGTTTCCCAATTTGACCTGTGCATGTTGGGAATTGCATAGCTGGCGGACAACGTGTTCCAGCTGCCTCATCATGTTGGCCACTTGGTCGTGTTGAAGCACAGCAGAGTCAAATCTTGTCGACAAGACGACGCCTTGCTCCTGCAGGTGGCACTCTAGAGACAAAGGATACGTGCGGAATTCTGCCATTTCGTTTTCCATTTCGCATATTTCCTCAAAATTACCATCTCGTACAAAGAGACGATCATGGCACGACCTCTCCGTCTCATCCTCGGCTGGCTGGATGATGAGCAACGTTTGGAAGTCGCACGCTCGCTCGGCTTCAGGGCTGACCCTCTTGATTCGTTGTAGACCTGTTTGTTCAAATGGCACCATGCCGAGGACCTGGTCTTGAATTTGGATAAGAAGTTCTTCGACAGTCTTTTCCTTATTCAAGACAATCCGCAACGGCACTGTCGCAATCGTGGGACCAGTTATCCCATCCACTCCTCGGACAGCTGCCTGCCTGCCGCTCACCGTAATGCCGAACACGATATCATTTGCGCCAGTATAACATGAGGTGACGATGGACCATGCAGCTCGCAACAGGGTCGAGGCTGTCATACCCATTGCATTTGGCCACTGGAGATCTCTAATGTCATGCTTCAGCAGGATATCAGATCTCGGCTGATAACGCGGCAACGGCAGTGCGGGAAATATTTGTGCATTAATGTCCCTGAACTGCGTCGACCAAAAGTTGGTTGCCTCATCTTCCTGTATATTGAGGATATGCTTCACGAAACCTTGGAATGGAATAAAATCCTCAAGCTCTCCTTCCCCGCCATAATAAGCATGGGAAAGCCGCTTTAAAAGTAGTGATTTAGACCATCCATCATATAACGCGTGGTGAATCGTCCACACAAAGAAACGTCTCGCCTCTTTCTCATCTTTTCGCTCCTCCTCGAACAGTGTGAATCGGACCAAGGGACTTCCCAAGTCCATTGTGAGCTTTTCATCCATCTCCTTATACTTGGCGAGGCTCATGCGTCGCTCCTCATGCATTACTCCCGTCGTTGCATTCGTATCAATGACCACCTGCACCATGCCTTGGGGCTTGATGTCGACAATTTGCGTCCGAAGAATAGCTGTTGCCGCCACGACCTGTTCCCATGCCTTTCGAAGACGCTCCGTGTTCACCTCAGGCCGCAGTTGGAAAACATGCCGTGAGATGTAGTCACCGGGATTCTTGGCTGTCAATGCGATGAGGCCTTCTTGTAGAGGTGTGCAGGGAAAGACGTCGGCCACATTCTCAGTGGCGACGCCACAGATGACGGCCGCCTGTCTGCGCACCGACTCCGCGTCGATATGGTTTTTGAGCAAAGAGAAAGGCTCGATGGGGCTACTACTATCCTCTAAAAGCTCGGCTACGACCTTTGACATGTCACATAGTACCGGATGGGTAAAGATGTCGGCGACATTGAGCAGTAGGCTGTCATCTCGCGCGGCTCCAGCCAGTTTCATGGCCGCAATAGAATCCCCTCCAAGACGTAGAAAGTCATCATCAGCCCCGATGCTATCGTCGTCCAAACCGAGAACAGAGGACCAAAGTCCTCGTAAACGGAGCTCCATAACGGTGGTTGGCTCCCTCTTGTCTGGCAAGGATGAACCTTGAGCCATAAGCTCCTTCAATGAAAATGCTGCCCCCGTTTCTCTAAGCTTGCTTCTATCCAATTTCCCACTAGATGTTGTGGGAAAAACCTCAAGCGGTATATAGGCTGCCGGGATCATGTACGCCGGGATGTGGACGGCCAACCGGTTGTTGAGTCCGTCGGTGACTCTCTGCACCTCTATTTCTAGCCCGTCCTTGTCTTGGCTGGAAACTGAGTTCGATATCTGTATGAACGCAACAAGCAAAGACCTGTCGCTGTTGCGTGGTGTCACGAGCTCGGCAGCCACTCGCACATCCCCTCCGCCATGAGCGACCTCTGTCCGCACATGAGACTCGACGTCGCCCAACTCCACACGCTGGCCACTGATCTTAACTTGCAAGTCTTTTCGGCCTACATAGGCAATATTCCCATTGGCTTCGTAGCGCACAAGATCACCTGTCTTGTACAGTCGACCTGGACGCCCTGGACAGCCTGGCGACCCAGCAACCAACCACTTCGGGCTCTCGATGAACACTGCGGCCGTCTTTTCTGGTTGTCCGAGATATCCGTCTCCGACAATTGGGCCTTCCAGCACCAATTCACCAGTAGCTCCAACAGGCACCAGCTCGTCATGGCAGTCAGGGTGGACCACCCAAGTGCAAAAGCCAGCTCCTCGGCCAATGGTCACGTTAGGGTCTTGCTTGCCAGCAGCGTCGCCATCGTCAAATTCAGCCAGCGTGGCTCCAACTGCGCATTCAGCTGGGCCATACAAGTTGAACACGCGGGTAACTTGTGCCCACTCAGAGGCCAGCTGACTCGTCAGGGCCTCTCCAGCGAAAATAACATGCTTCAGTGTACCATTCAAGTCCACGGGTCGAATCATGGCACCGACTGAGGGCGTGATATTCATACAGTTTGCACCGTAGGCTCGTATGGAGCCAGCAAGGTTGCTGAGAGCCTCTTGCTGGGAAGGGATGCACAGACAGCCACCCACAGTCAGGGTATGGATAAAATTCGACCATGCTATGTCGAAGGAGTACTTGGCAAAATCATACACCCGTGAAGAGGTCGAATAGCCTTGTACAACCTGCTGGTGGTGAATTAAACTACAAATATTGGAATGGGTGACGATTGTGCCCTTGGGAGTGCCCGTGCTGCCTGAAGTGAAGATGATGTAAAGCCTGCTTGATGGGTGAACCTCTGGCAGTTTGTTGATTGTCACAGAGAGGCTGGTACTTTCCTCATCAACAAGCACGAGTGGGCCTGAGGTGAGGTCGCCAGCAAGACCAGCAGCCAAAGAAGACGCCAAGATAACAATTGGCTTGGTTTGTTGGACGATGCTATATAAACGCTCGAAGGGGAGTGAGGTTTCCAGAGCCACTGATGAACCTCCGGCCTTCATAACAGCGAGCATGGCGATGGGAGTCCATTTTGACTTTTGAAAGCAGAGAGGGACAATCACATCAGGACCGACGCCAATATCGACGAGGCGATGTGCTAGGTTGGTAGAGAGTTCATCGAGCTGGCGATAGCTCCAATTGCCGTCCCAGGCCTGAACGGCCTGGTCGTCAGGCTGCAGGTGCACTCTCTCCGTGATAAGACTGTGAACACATTTGTTGACTGTCTCTGGGACGGTATGATTCCATTTCCAGATGAGCTGAAGATCTTGACGACTGATGCTATCTGTCGAGCTGTGCTGAGACTCGTTGTAGAGCAATGATGAGGAAGGATCTTGCCTCTGTTTTGAGGTATTGGCAGGCATTCTCAACGATATCGTACAATGCAATGTCGGCCTGTTTGTGAATGGCTTGGGCCAAGCTTTTCCTTAGACACCTTCGTCAAGGGATGATGACGGTGTTGGTAGAGGAAGATGAGACGTCGCAAAGAGGACCTGAGCAGCCAATTTCAAATTCTTGGGCCGATGATGTTGGACTGAGGATACACACTGCAATACTCGTCACTTACACACGACATGGATGTGAAGCACATGTGTTTTCTAGGCACCGTGCGAAGGGGTACGTGTATGTCTCTCTCTCGTGCGTTGCGTCAAATTTCGGGCAGCGTATTGCGCCTAACAAGAACTTTTGGGGGCTCATTATCAATCTGTAGCTAGATCATTCATAGTCACCGTCATAGTTGCTCGGTTAGGCGCGCTACATTTTCAGGTGAGTAGTCGAAAAGGGCAATGCGCTTGCAACGACAGACTTTGAGACTGAGACATGCGCATGCATCACATCACATCACATCTTTCCTCAAGCAACTCACCTGGCTCATGTCACACACCCCTCCGTATTGGTGGCTTCACAAACACCCCACTTCCCAAGTGGCTTTCAGTAGTTGTGTGATTACTGGCAAAGGACTTGTCGATCCTCAGCCGCACGGCTTGGGCACGAGAAAAGACGGTGCAGTAAATACTCCTTGTAGGATGCCAAATGTGCCTATTCACCAATCCGTTAAAGCAACACGGTTTCCGCGAGCTGGACAAACTACTACGCACTATCAGTAATCGCAAGGCAGTTATGCAATATCATGGTCTAAACGAAGCGTGAAAACGCAATTCATTTCGTTCAGCTCTCCGGATCACAAAGGCTAGATCACCATTCCATCTTGAGAGGAGCATTACGGTGGAACTGTGAATGAGGCCGAGCTCTTCGTTTCATAACTACATGTACTCCCCTGTAGCTTTGTGCATGTAGATCCCTTAGACTGTGGCAGCATGCCATCACACCACTGGGGTGTCAAGAAGCGGAGATTTTCTTACTCGGTGGAACGCGGCCATCTCGTGACCATCCCCAGAGAGACTCACTGGCAATAAATGATTCAGTTCTGCGCTGCCTTGGGTATCCATGCGTTCAGTGGGAGTTCCGTCAAGATCGGCTTGTTAATGTGAGGCTTGTCTATTACGCCTGGAGTCTCATCGAGAGCGGTCGAGTAACGGCAAACGGCCAAGCATTGGGCAAATTCATACAATAGGCACCTATCTTACTTATATAGACCATGTCATGTAAATAGAAACTTTCCCAACTCAGTGTTTTCTTGTCGGCTCCCAGATCCGACAACCATTCAACAGTTGGTTGTTGAATTGGGGATTATCAAAAAGTTTACCCTGATAGCCATTTATTGCTGTAGCATATCCCATCTTAGTAGCTAGTCCTTTATAGTCTCATATGTATATGTACTTTTTAGGTAATTTCAATAAACGACGAATTTTGTCTCTGGACGGCATGGGAGGTATCTCTCGGAAGACAACTCTGTGCAGAGCCATTGCTCCAACAACAATGGAGTGATCTCGTGCAAACTGACACACGATCTTACCCCCCCCGAGTGCTCCCGCAGGGTCGATATTCTTTTCGACCAAAGGGGTATCGGTCAGCCTGAAGAGACATGGTGCAATCCTGCCTGTATCGAAAGCTTTTTGCCCTAGTAGCTCCCTGCTGTGCTCCGACCCAAGCAAGTAACTGCATATATGATGTAAGTATAAAAGCTGCTTTTTCTGGCATTCCTTGTTTCTCGATACAACGTGTACTTTTTTCATCTCCCTCTTGGCTTTGATCAGTATTCAACTCCTTCTTACTGTTAGGTGTGGTTTTTGTTTGGAGTTGGAATTACAGCCGCCAACCCTTGTTATACAATTCTGGATTCGCTCGGCAGATTAGCCAAGCGCAATAATGGCCCTCTTGACGATACTCGGCCTAGTTCTAGCCCTCTCTTTTACTTTCATTGCCGGCAAAGTCATCTATGCCCTGTTCCTTTCGCCGTACAGGAACATTCCAGGGCCGAGGCTATGCAAAATCACCCGCTACTGGGCTATCTATCAAGACTTGCGGCTGCGTCGGATTAGCAAGATTCACGAGTGGCACTGCAAGTATGGCGACGTCGTTCTCATCGCCCCGGGCGAGGTCTCCTTTTCCAGCCCGGCGCCCACAAGGGACATTTACGGCTGCTCCGGGCGTCATCCCAAGAGCAGCTACTTTGACAACTTAACAATGTACGGCCAACGGCCCATCTTTTGCGTCCGCGGTGTTGGTGAGCACCGGCAGATGTGCAAGCGGACGTTTGCCTTCTACCAGCCCTCGTCCATCTACAAGCCGGCAACCTTGCAGCCGCTACGCACCAATGTATCCAAGATCGTCAGCCGGCTCAAGAGAGACATGGAGGCGCGCTTGACGGTCGATGCCATGTTTTACTGCAACCTGTACTCGTTTGACAACATCACACGCCTGGCATATGGGCCCGATCTCAGTGCCCACTCGATCGACGACGAGAACTGCGAAGAGCGAACGATATTAGCGGGCTGGAAAGAAGTCGAGGTCTGGAACAACCTCGCATACATCGTGCCCACCGTCCACAGGATCACCCGGGCCGTCCTGTCCCATACCAGAGGCGACCCGGCTTTCCTGTCCGCCGAGGAGAGGCTGGCCGACTGGAACATGGAAAATATCATGGCCAGCCAGCGTGACCCGGGCAAGATCGTGCCCGGCTCCCTCCTCCACCAGCTGAGCCACGCCAAGACGCCCCAAGGCGAACCTTACCCCGTGTCGTGGATCGCGGCCGAGATGCTGGACAATATCCACGCCGCGCAGACGACGGTGGCCCTCGCCTTGACCTTTTTGCTCTGGGACCTGGCTCGCAGCCCCGAGTGGCAGGACCGGGTCCGCACTGAGCTTCTCTCGCTGCCCATCAGCGAGGACGACGGCTTGCCCACCTTTGATGGCATCATGGCTTGTCCCATTCTAGATGCCTGCTTTCGAGAGTCCGGCCGCCTCCATCCTTTATCGAGCGGCAGGGCAGAGAGGGTTGTACCTGCTACAAAGGCATATAGCGGCATCATCCTTCCAGCCGGAGTGAGTCCTCCTCCTTTTCTTCTTCTTCCTGACAGTTTCCACCCTCGCTTTTTGTTCAATTGCTTGTGCGTCCTAACCATAAGATGAAAACAGACCCTTGTGTCCACATCGACACTCTCCATTCACCACAGACCAGACGTCTTTCCCGATCCACACATATTCAAACCCGACCGCTGGCTCGAGGCTGACGGGGCAGCTCTACAGGCCATGGAGTCGTGCTACATGCCGTTTGGCTACGGCGCGCGCCTCTGCCTAGGGAAAGCCTTTGCGGTCGCCGAGATCAAGCAGCTCGTCGCAGGCATCCTCCTCGGGTTCAGCGTGCGGCGGGATCCGCAGTCCAAGACAACAACAGACTGGACCATGGAGCAGCTCGGGACGCAGAACGCCATGCCGCGAGGCCGGCGGTGCGATCTGGGCTTTCACAAGCTGGCAGAGAGGGAGTGGACGGGTATGGACGGCACACAAGTTGGGCGTGCCGTCTGAAACCTAGGATGGTCGGCTTCATTTCAGTATCTGTTCAGCCGGTGAGCTGGGGTTCTTTGAATCAGATTGGTCATCCAATTACTTCGTGAGGCTTCAATTGAGCTGTCAGTATCTTTACTGCGCCTCTTTGGATTTGATTGTTTGCAACAAAACAATGCAGCTAATACATCATTCTACCGAATGCCCATCAACTCACTCAAGGTTTGTATCCACATTGCGTGCATTCATGCCATTTCATAAATTGAGGACAAACTTGCATCATCCCCCTTGCCTTCCTCTAGTCATGCAGGTCTAGGAATGGGAAGCGGTAGACCGGAAGCATGATACCAATAGTATGCGGAGGGACAAATAAGGGGACAGGGTTACAATACAACTTGGTTGGACTTCGCAAATGCATCGAAAGGAAATTGGGCTCCACTATGTGATAGATGACTGCAGTATTACGAGACTGAGTCTCGTCTCGCAAGAACACATGATGCCAGTGTACCTTTAAGGTAGCTAGTTAGTTGTTTGTGGCGAGCTGAAGAGCTGAGACAGAGCTACGGTGGCCACTGAGAGGACAGAAAATGCCGTCGATCTATTACGGCCCACCTGCAGAATATAATTTATCAGTCTCTATAAAGATGTGCTCATCGACGCTAGGCTTCGAACCCGCATTGTCACAAAATTGAGGCGGTAACATCGTCCAATCGGCTGGGGTCCTTACCCCTACTCAATGCCTATATGTAGGTAGCTTGATATACGCACGGTCATAAGTGATGAGCGGTGTCTCGGGCGTTCTAATGGCGCCTTACGTGTCCCCATTGATGAGACAGCAACGCTCTCCCAGCCAATGCCAAGCCAATGTTCTGTGTCCAAGTATGCAGATGCACAAGGCTGCAACCCCTGACTCTGGTGGTCCAGGTCGTTCTCAGGTCACACAATTAGGTAATTTTAGGTAATAGCAACCGCGATGAAAGACCTCCAAGGACCTTTTGGTGATGCAAGAAGGAAAGCGGCTTGGCCTTGGGCAATAGATGGGAGTGAACCGTCTCAGCCACTCGCTCACAAGCCGTATCCCACACGAAAAGCGGAGTCTGGATCCTTGATCTTCGGCACCTGTCCTCGTATTGATGAGTTCATGGATGAGCTACTGCCGGTCAGGCCCAAGAACAATGTGCCGATGCGCCTCCACAACATGGATCAAAGTACCTACAATGATCCACGCCCGACGTGTTGTCCGGCACCATGGGGGACGCGACTGTGGAGGAAGTAATGAATTTGTTGTGTACATGTTATGCCTTTCTAAACAAGCTGCCCAACGACTCATCCGCCCAGCCACCCGTCTTAGTCAATCCTCTCGCCTGTGAGGGGGTGTAGCTCCAGAGATATGTCCTTACAGCAAGGATCTCGATCGAAAAAGTAAAGACTAACGAAAGACCTCAGTCCTCCGCTCATCCCGCCACGGTTTGCTTTACGCGGCAGGACTACCTCCACTCATGTATAGCTTAGAGAACATGGATGCTGAGTCGGCTAGGAGCTCTTGTGGGTTCCCAGATTCCATCGGCTTGCCCTTGTCGATTAGCACGACCCGATCAAAGTCGAGCACTGTGTTTAGCTTGTGAGCAATGGCAATCAAGGTGCGGCCCTGGAGCTCTTCTCGTAGTACCCGCTGCATGAGCTCATCCGTCTCCGCATCGACGCTGCTCGTCGCCTCGTCAATGATGATGATCTTACCCGGGCGCGCAATGGCGCGGGCAAGGCAGAATAGCTGCCGCTGGCCGTGGGACAGGGCTTCCTCGTCCATCGGGGCGTCGAGCCCGCCGCGGCTATCCAGCAGGTCCCAGAGACGGACGGCGCGTAGTGTTTCGATGATACGTTCGTCGGTCAACATCTGCAGCGGGTCCATGTTCTCGCGCACACTCCCGTACAGAAAAAAGGGCTCCTGTGGTAATATGTTTAGGCGGCTGCGCAGTGTCTCGCGCGATATCTTGCCAGTGGCGTACCCGTCAATGGTGATGCTGCCCTCATCTAGGTCCAGCATACCAAGTATCGCCAAGAGCAGTGATGATTTACCACTACGGCGTTGTCAGTTAGTATTAGCAGAAAACATCAAACTCGGGCCTGAAATCTCACCTTCCTGTTCGCCCACATAATGCAATCTTTTCACCTGGTTGGATGGTCAAGTTGAATCCATCGACGACAGGAGCAGTAGTTGACTTGTAAGAGGCGGAGACGTTGTCCAAAATAATAGAACCAGCTGCCGGCCAGGTATCTGGCAAGCCGTCGTCCGTCTCTCCCTCACGTTTCTCTGATTTGGTCTCTTCAACAAATGCCTTGACGCGACTGATGGCACCAAGGCCCGTCTCCAGCTGTGTCCACTGCGTGACGAGAGACTGGAGAGCGCCACTGAAGCTGATGACATTGAAGAGCGCCACGCCCAGCAGTCCAGTCGACCCGTTACGCACCAGTGTTGCAAACGCGACCAGCATCACGGCAATGGCGCCGGCCAACAGGTCCAGCACCACGGTCAGCCACCTCTGGATGCACCACAATAGATAGTACGGCTTCTGCGAGGCGTCGAGGACCTCGTAGCTCCGGTCCATGTACTGTTCTGACCACCCATATGCGCGAATACAGGCGATGCCGCCCAGGGTCTCAATGAAGTGGGAAAACAGGGGCGCCTTGGCTTCAATATCGAGCAGACGCAACTGGCGTGAGGTCCGCAGATAAAACATCTGGACAAAGAATATGACAGCTACGCAGGCGGGGATAGTAGCGGCAACGTAGCCCGAGCCGGTAAACACCAGCACGGCCGAGATCAAGACACCAAGAAAGTTCATGACGCACTCGTCGAGAGACTGCGGCAGATCATTGTCGATAAGCTGCAGGTCTTGACTAAACCGATTCGTGGTAACTCCGGCATTTGTAGATGTCAGAAACGATGTTGTTGCGCTAAAGGACGGGGAACATTAGTCACTTATGAGCCTCAATCAGGGGAAATCGAGACATCATACTGCATAGTTGTATCGAGCAAAAGCTCGTGAAATTTGCGCGAGGTTTTTGGAACCACCATCATTCGAAAAGCCCTAAAGAGGAGTCAGACCACTTCACCAGTCCCGTGTTATGAAAAGCCAACGCACCAGTCTGATGCCATACACCCTGCAATCGCTAAACTTGCGAGGGCAAAGTATACGCCCAGCCAGTAGCCAATGTTGTCGTTGGGATGTTCTTTATTGTAATGGGTCCACCATTGTAGCCATATTGCTAAAGGAAGACACCAGAGTCAGTAGTCTAACGAATGACGACGTTGTGAATTCACTTACAGGGAAAGCTGAGGCCAAATATATAGGCTGCGCAGATAACGAGATAGGCTGAAAAGGTCCATACACCGGCTACCTGGATGTAGTAAGTGTACACCTGCCAGTCACTCGCCCGGTGGGCAGCATCTAACTCGTCGTCCTCATTTTCGAGGCCGAGTTCCTGATAGACTTCCTCTGGCACCTCCAGTGCTTCCTGTCGTGACGTCTCAGCAACTGGCAAGCTCTCCAGGCGTCGCACATAGCCCCCGGATGCGGAAACGTCTTCAAGAGTGCCTTGCTCAGCGATACCCCCTTCCGTGTTGAGAACTATTATATGATCGGCGTAACGTAGGTGGCTAGCTATAGGGCATCCTGTTAGCAGTGCAGGAGAGAGGCATGGGTCAGAGTTAACATACCAGAATTCGTAGCAAGCACGACCGTTGATCCTGTATTTTTGAGGATGCCGTCCTCATTAAAGACGGCCTCCAACACAGCGGCCTCAGTCGTCCGGTCAAGACCTGTCAGGACATCATCCAACACGAGGAGTTTGTTCCTAGAGTACAAAGCACGAGCCAACGACTTGTCGCATGTCAGCTCCTCTTCCCTTTCCCAGACCGTACCAAGAAAGATACATTACTTACCACACGAATCTGCTGGCCGCCACTTAGATGAGAGCCCCTGATCCCAGTTTTTGTCTGGTCACCATCTGGCAGACTTTCAAAGTCGCCATCTAGCGAACACGCACGAACAACTTTGCGGTACCACCCAGCATCCCACGGCGACATTCCCAGGATGTTGCTTCGTACTGTGCCCCACGTAATCCACGGCGATTGGGGAGCGTATGCGCATTTAGAAAAGTCCGACACGACGGAACCTGACACTTGGGGCAGCTCTCCGAGGAGAAGGCGCAGCAGTGTTGACTTGCCGGAACCGACAGGCCCGACAATCATGGTTACCTTGCCGCCACTAATCCCCAGGTTGATTCCTTTGAGGATCATTGTTTCAGGAGTGTAACCTCCCGAGGCTTCAGTGAGGCGAATAACGCTAGGTTCAGAATTGTTGTCAACGACCTTGGTCAGAACGCCGTGACCGGATGCCACTGTAGTAGAGATTTTCGGTAGGCTTTCATCGGAAGACGCTTCGGGCTGTTGGTAAAGAGGGGTCGCTCGCGAGTCTTCCCTCTCGGCGGACAGAAGGTAGGCCTGAATACGATAAAAGGCGTTGTATATGGTCTGAAAATCTTCGAAGCCATGAAGCAAGGACATGACGGGCCGGTCCTGGAGATTGAATAGACTCAAGACTGCAAAAGCCATACCCTCTGTCAATGCCTCGGTGTTGTTGACCTTGGCCAAGATGGCAAAAGTTCCGAGACCCAGGACGGGAGCAAAGGTAAATGTGCAATTGGCTGTCCGACACCCCAAGTCAGCCATAATTACATCGCGGGAAGTTTTATGGGAGGCAATCAAGTTCATGGGACTCACCAGCTCCAGTCTGTAGCACGGACAAGAGACGGAAGGCGCGTGATGCTCGGATTTCCTTGCTTCTGAGACTGGTAATAATCTTGTGGATGGTGTCTGTCAAGCCGGTCATTCGAATCACCTTCATTGTCCCCACCATCTTGGAGGTCACGGCCAAGCGTTTCTCAATCGCCTCGAGCCATGGCACCTGCGCGTTTCCAGCGGCTGAGGCAATGGGAATTCCAAAGACAAGACACACTTT